TCAACTACCCGCCCCCAACTGCTGGATCTGAAGGGGGGGGGGGGGCGGACTTGGACTCCGTGCTGCCCTGCCGTCGAATGAGGCACATATCGGAGGCACATATCGGGCGCACACCTCAAAAGATCAACATCAACTCTGCGCTCTTTGACTGCAAGATGTAGGCGCTTCGCCAGCCGTATTGCGTATAGCGTTATACGTCGGATTGCGTTGGTTGTCGTTGGGCAAATCATTCTATGTTTTTTCCCCCCCCCCCCCCGAATTCTCGACTCAATTGATGCCGCGCGGCATAGCACTGCGTTTTCTGGACAGCGCCATCTTAGGAAATTTCGATACAGCATTTCCTACACAACGCGCGACAAGGCCCCGTCAGCATGTGGACTGAACACTTGACTTGTCGCCTGTCGTACCCGACAACATCATCCTTGTATTTTGGGTCTGATCGGTAACGGCATCGTCATCTCCTCAACGCGATGCTGGAGCTCGTGGTAGCACCCGTGATTCCAGCCGACTAAGAGCGGGCGCCAGGATCGTAGCACAGCAGTATGGCACGCAAATGACAGTGGTCGCACCGTTCAAGTCTCTGGAAGCTCTGCGGGTTGCCGCCAGCATACCTCATCTTGGTTTTTTTCCACGATCCTGCAGCAAGGCGTGTGCAACCAATCAGCAAAAAGAAAAGAATACAAGAGGATCATCTACTGTGTAGATGCTTGCAAAGATGTGATGCATTGCGTCTCCGTACTCTGTACGGAGTACCGTCCCAGCGTCCCTCACTCTCGTTTAGACCAGGTCTGGTGACACGACCAAATTTTCTTTTATTCGGGATTCTCATACTGACAATGCTGGAGTCGCCCCCGACTCCCCGTTTGTGTCATGTCAGTCGGCCAAGAAGAACTTTCCAAAATAATATGAGTAAGTGGAGAGATGTTGGAATAAGAAACGAAGGCGTTTCGTGGCGTTCGGCGTTACTGGACTAGAACGTGTCGTGAGGAGCTAATTCAGCATGGGGATAACCAGCATTCGGATTGTTTTGCGAGCCCATCGACCTATTCTGTCGCCATTTATGTGGCCCAGGACGATGCTGACAGGCTAACGGAATAGCTAGCTCATCTACGAACATGTCATTGCCAAACTCTAGGCCTCCCTGTTCGGTAACTCGTGCCTCTAGCGATGGGACATCAACAAGCCTGTTGTTTACGCGGCCAAGGGTGCCACGGGTGGCCGCAGCGCCAACACGGCTTGGCTCATTGCGTTAATCTGTGGACGCAGTGGGCCAAGGTACGGACACAGTTGATTGCGATATCTTGAGCGACATAGCACCGGCCTGCCGTGCTTCCAGATCGTTCAGGATCCTAGTCCGCTTCTTCCCCTCGACTCTCCAGTCTCACTCTCATGTGAATATGGGGGTTCACGAAACCCAATGGCTTGGCTTGGCTAACCCGTGAAGTTGCCGCTCGCAATCTCGACTGGGTCTTCGCACCTTCTACCACCGCCCACGGCTTGCCTGTGCTATTGGTCCCGCGTCGATAGCTCATTAGCCTCACCGATTTTTGTTTGATTTGCGACCACGTGGGAGAAGTAATGATCGCCAGGACTAGCCACTCGAGGGCTACGTTTCGCGTTTCCGTCGTGCCCGGAACGGGTCGACTCTAATAATCCAGAGTGCTTCAAATTCCAGGTCTAGTCGAGCTTGCACTCACGCGGGTGGAGAGGACAGTATGCTTTGGGATGCTCGTCGCTCGAGACTACCTAGACGAACGACCAACCTGGTCAATAGTCCCTCGGGAACGGGTGACCAGCGGCAACAACACAGTAGAGATCGACGGCAAGCATTACCTTGCCTTGGCCCTTGGGGACGACTCCATCCGATCGGCCCAGAACTGTAAAAGCTAGGGTGCAGGGGGGAGAAAATCTCCCAATTCACCGTTACTCTGGGGGTGTGGGCGAGCCAAGATGGCCAGCCTGCCAGGAGAGCATCATCAGGAATAAGCACGAAGCGCAGGAGACGGATTCCCTCTAAGCCGTCCCTGATGGCATCTGCATGTTCCCGTATACCGACACAGACAACAGGTGTATGGCAGAGAGCGGTGGGAAGCTGCATCATCTCGAGCAAGTATATTCATCAGATGATGCAAAGAGCTTGAACATGCGGTCCTTGCTTGCCGCGCTTCACGCATACATACTCCACCTTCATCGACTGCCGACCTGACCTTGCGGCCGTGTCTGGCTGATGCCTCACTTCCGATTGCGGAACAGATGAACGGCTGTTCATCGATACAGACTGAAGAGTCGAAACAAGGAATAATTAGCCAAAGATCCATGGTACCTGTCCCCTTGAGCCAATCTGCCGCCCCAGCTGCTCAGCGCGACATCCGAGGGCGGGAAAAACAAAGTCGGATACCATGAAACTCAACACACACGGATCCTCTTCTTTGGGTCCAAGGTAAGTAACATGCCTAGCTGAGGCGCAAACCGCGCTCAGTAGCACTCCCACACCTCCCTCCCCGCTGGTTGGGAGCTCCATGGCACCAAACAGACAGCGGGATCTACGGAGTACGCGATGGCGCTTCCTAATTTGACGCGTCCTTTGAACAGACGGAGTCCGGGTAACCTAATTACCCTGTACAGTATAGCATTGCATGCTTTTGCTGGCTTTCTTTTGGCTGCATGACCTGTATGGAGACTCTGCACAACGGTCCGGTCCCAGCACGACGGCTTGGGTGATGTCCTCCAGGGAAGATACGAGTCTGACGACATTGCTGCAAGGCATGCCACTCAATCCCAAACCGCACGACCTTGGGACCTCGCCATCGCGCCTTTCCCTGCCTGCTATCTCATACGAGGTATCACTGTCCTCTGTAGCGCAATCGGCTCTATGGTGGTCCAAAAGTATAGCATGGGTCACAGTGGCTCTCACAGCAGCCTTCTGAGCTCTACCACCAATCTCTCGGCCAGGCATGCCACCAACACCCTGCAGGTCTCGATCAGAGTCAGTCTCGCTCGTAAAGGTCCTCCATTGGCCCAACCTCTTCTGGCCACCTAAGCCCCGAGGGAGTGAGGCGTTCTGCTGTGCCCTCGCGGCGATCCCAGTCCTGGTTTCTTTTCTCTCGCTCCTCGTCCCTCCCTCCTGTCTCCTCCTCCTCCTCATGTACGGATGTACCCGAGCACTGTGTCCTACCACGGAGCAAGGAGCTGATTATAGAACAACTCGAGGCGTGGGATTTGCAAAGCTCATTGGGGAGTCCAGGGGGCGCGGGGTGTGAAGAGAGCAGTTACCTTCTGTTACTGCAACGCCTCGGGCCACATCTTGCAGCCTCTTTTAGTTGCTTGGCTTCTCAGCAGATTAGACGCTCCTCGCATCTGCAAGACCTGGTGACAAATTCTCCTCAGGGTTGTGGCTTTTCTTGGAAAGAGGGGCTGACTCGATACTTCAGCTGTCGACTGAACGGCTAGGCACTTTTGCGGGTGACACTTGATCAGGGACGTTGACTGCATCTCGTCCGTATCGTGGCTCAACGACATGTACCCGTCGAGCGCGTCATGGCTTTGGATAGGATACCTATGGAAGTATCGTTTCCAGGAAACCTAGGAACAGCCCATAATTTGCTCGTCTCCAGTGACGGCACTTTACTCTGAGATCTTTCCATGGAACGTTTCATGACTATGAATGTTCTCATATCACGACGCCGATCCGGATCCATCATCTCCGCGGTTTTCAATCGATCGAACCCCCCAGGGCTGACCGAGCGAGTGGTCGAGGGATAATCATCGACAGACCTTGACGGTGGGGTTACCGCTCATCTCGGTAGACCTCTCATCCTCGGATAACGGAGCTCTCTCTCCTCCTCCTTCCCTGGAGGGGAGAACGACGTTACGAATTTCGTCCGGGGGCGCTTCGGGATCGAGACACGACATGCTTGAATAGGCGAGTCCGGCTGCTCGGCGGATCAGGGGCTCGGATCACGTTCGTCCCACAATACATGTAGGCTGTTCCGTCAAATTGGGTCCAAGGAAGTAGCGAGAAGGAAAGAGAGAGAAAGAATAGATTCCTTGGGGTTTCGTAGAGTACCATGTCCATTGCACCCCGGGTGAGTTTGATGCGTACTTCGCCTGTTCTTGCCTTGCCTTTCGTGATGATGATACCTTTGAACACGGTGAATCGGGCCGCGGGGTTACAGGTAAGTTTGGAAAGCGTAGCTCAGAGTCAGGTGAAGGGGGGTTAAGAGAGGCCCCGATGTGATGGGAGTGATATCGGCTCCCTAGGCGGGGCCTCTGTGGTCTCTGCTGCTGGGTAGGTTGTCTTGGAAAGAGTGTTTGTTGGGCTTTAGCTTGGGCTCCTGGAGTATGTCGTAGATGCTGTCTCGTAGCAGCGACGCCTGAGGGCTTGGGTTAGTCTGTCTGCGCCGGTCCGAACACAATTTGACTGCGTCTATGGCGGGAGTTGAATCAAGGCAGTCTCTGCGGACGTTTCTCTTGGTTGGTATGTGTTGATTTTCATTGTCGTTGTCTGACAGAGTAAGAGTTGGGCTTGATATTGAATTAGTCGTGAATATCCAGAGGGCTTTGGAGTTGTTTTGTATCGTGGAGTAGATGATAGCATTGCTCAATCACTTTTTCTAGGTAGTTTCTTATGGCGTAGCTCCTATTTGCAGTTTTTCATGGCTGTGAGATGATTTCGAAGTGATGTAATTTTTACATTGCTCGTCCCATTACTTAAAGATGGGTTGGCTTCTTGAAGTCGAAGATGTCGACTATCCGTGAGTTTTGAGGACGAAAGGTGACTTTAGATGACCGGTTGGATTTTCTAAGATCTATTTTTTGTTTTCTTTCTCTGGTTTCTAGTATTTCCTTCCGCAGGGTACTCCATTATCCTTCATAGCATTTATATAGTATCTCACATCCTGATCCAATTCCCTTTCAGTGATCATGACAGAGTGTTCCCCGCAGACGTCGCCGAGCTTCCAAGTTTTTCTCGACTTCTACGTTAAAGACTCCAAGCCACTTCATAGTTCGTCCTTCACAGCTCTTTGCGTACGGTCATGGCTCTTGGCCTTGAAGCCATCTCCAGGTTGTGCGATCCTCCTCAAACGGAACACCTTGGCCGCATGACTGGGCACCGAAGCCTTCAACACACCTGTGGCCTTGACTTCGCCAATCTTTTGACCAAATAACCTCGGGTCCTCCTTCTCCAAACCGAGAGCGTAAGGAGTCTCTGTAGCATTATACCACTTCGCATCCCGTAGAATCTTGACCCGCGCATCGTGGCCCTCAGCCGTGAACAGCGACTCAGCCATGTCCGTGGGCATCCTATCGGCCCAAAGATCGTGGACCGCCCATTTCGATTTCACCTGCGGCGCCGAACCTCCAGGCCCATCTGCCACAAATATTTCCGCGAGCGAGGACTGCATCTCAATCTCCGCGCCGGCAGCGTTGAGCAAGATGACGATCTGGTCCCCGTTCTCCAACCGCCCACTCCAGACCTGCGCTTCGGCAACGCCAAACTCGTCCGGGACCAGATCCCCTCCAACATCCCTCCTCACCCTCAACGCGCTACGGCCGTGGGGATCCTGGCTGATGGCGATGATGGCCGGGTTGTTAACGATACTCAGCGCCTCGGCGGGCATATCCCGCAAATCGTTTCCGAGCATCAGCGGCGACTTGAGGGCGGCCCAGAGGGCAAAGTGCGCCTTGTATTCCTCGTCCGTCATGCCGCCCTGGCCGACCTCGAGCATGTCGAGGTCGTTCCAGCCGCCGGGGATTCCGCGGTCGGCAAAGGTGGCGACGCGGTTGATGATGAAGAGGACGGAGCAGTGGGTTCCGGGCGCGATGCAGAAGGGGTCCGCAGCCTGGTTGCAACTGCAGAGGTCGTCGGGGCGGGTGAAGGCATCGTAGATGTCGCCTGACATGCGCCATGCGTTTGAGATGGACATTCCCCACTACGAGAGTGTTAGTTGAAGGTATATAGGAATAGTAGAGATGAGGTGGTAGCGAACCGTGTGAACGTAGTCTTCGCCCCAGTTGCAGAGGCTGAGGGCAATGGGGCGGCCTGTCGCGTTGAGGGCGTCGGCCATGACTTTGAAGCGGTTGAAGGAGATTTGCGGTGTGCCCATGCGGCCCATATGGTAGCAGTTGTCGTATTTGAGAAAGTCGACGCCCCATGACGCGAAGCTCTGAGCATCATCGTGTTCATGATCGAGAGAGCCAGCTGCCTTGCATCAGTGTTGTTCATCAAAGCACCATCCTGATAGACTCAAAAAAGAGATACTCACCAAACCTGGCACAAGTCATCTCACCAGCACTGGAGTACATGCCATACTTGAGTCCCTGGCTGTGAAGATGATCCGAGACGTATTTCAGTCCGTTAGGAAACTTTGCGAGATTTGGCTGGAGCTTTCCCTTGGCATCGCGACCATTCTCATCTTGCCAGCAGTCATCCAAGACTACATGATTGTAGCCCAAATCGCGGAGACCCAGGCTGACGACACGCTCAGATGTGCCCAGAAGGAGGTCTTCGGAGACATCGCATGCGAAGGCATTCCAGTTGTTCTGATGATTATGAGCTCATCCCAACACTGCTAATCGGATTTTTGCGACTTACCCAGCCCATCGGAGGTGTATCAGCCAGTCCATTGCTGATGGCAGCAACTCGTCCAGCGGTTGCGATGGCGGCCGCAAGACTGAGCGATTTATATGGCATCTTGAATTCGAAGTTTAAACGGCAGAACCGAAAACGCTACTCTGCTTCACTCTCAAGACTTTGCCCGGGGCGCGACGTAAACTCGATGGCGGCACGTTATTATACAGATCAGAGCATCAAGAAAAAGTGGCATCGTAGATCCATCCGACCCCGCCATCGTGGCTATCGCACGTTCGTTCTCATGCGTAGCTCACTCTCCGACTTACATGATGCCCGCTCCCATTGCGAAATGAGGGGCTCAGGGGGGTCGACATCAGACGGTGAGGTCAAGCCAAGACAAACAAGGGGCGGAAAAGTCGTCGAGTTTCCCGCCTCTTCTCCGCAGTGTTGCAGCAACGACCCTCCCGAGTCATGCAGGCGCGCCCGTCAGTCGACCGGTCTGAACGCCGATGGAGCGAAAATCACCGGCCGGAAAGGAGACATCACCGGAGGCCAAGACATACCCCGCTACTGGGCAGAAGATGTGTTGGTTGAACGGTGAATATCTCGGAGTCAGAACATCACGAGTTACCCTTGTCACGAATATGAGCCGCTTCGCAAGTTGCCTTGCATGTCACATGTTGCAGCCAACACACTCTTCACATCAACTGCATTAACATAGTTGTCTCCATCAACGGGCCAAGAGTCCTGAAGCAGCCCCCCAGCTTCACTACACAGGCCCGGCTCCCCTCACCGGGGGCCCGTCCATCCACAATGACTCCATCTCCTCCCCGTCTCCGCGTTCCTTTTCTTCCATTGGCTCCGCGAACTCAACCAGGAACCTCAACATCCAACGGTCCAGAACGAAACTCGTGTCGATGCTCGTGCGTGCCGTCTGATGGAACGCTCTTAGACGGCTAATGGCCCGATCAGTAGTCGGCCAGTAACACCGTAGCTGCATCAGCAACTCGAAATTCCTCTCCAACCGCCTCCGAGCTACGCTGATATCCGCCTCATCCCCACTGAACAAGAGCGTGTGAATTTGTACCGTCGACGCGATGACGAGCACATGCGCAGTCATCGTGTACCGCACGTCCGACCCGGCCGTTGTCTGGGCGCGGTAGACCATATCACATAACCGAGCCGCGTGTTCCTTGCAGCGCTTCGCGTACGAGTCCCTCCTCGCGACAGAGGCCGAGGCTGTGGGATTGATGGCTGTCGTCGTCGCCGCGCCGTAGAGGAACTGATAATACAAGAGCTGGCCAAAGTGGTAGTAGCCGAGATAAACGGCCGCAAACGTCCGGCCCTGGCCCCGAGCCGCGAACCAGGCAAAGTTCTCTGGGGTATCACGCATATTCGCCGGGAGAGCGGCGAGCCAGTCTTCCATTCTCATGCTGAGAGACTCAACGCCTTGCTCGAGGGCATCCCAGGGAGGGTTATCCGCAACGCAACGCTGGTTAAAGTCGTTGACATCTAGCAGGATCCTGTTAAGCCTCACCATCTGCGATAGGAGTTGGGAGCTTTGCGCCGTCGATGATGTACCCGGTGCTCCGGCTCCGCTGCGGCTCAGTGAGAGAAACGGCAGATCGTCCATTGGCAAGGGGATATCGGATCTCGCCGGGAGCAGCTTGGGCAACTTCACCGCGGTGGAGGACCACACGTCGATCATGCAGAGCGACCACCAGACTGGGAACCGACTTGTCAGCTTTTTGAGTTCGTGCCTTGCATAACAGAGTTACAGATGAACGTGGCCAACGGCCAAACAATGGGGAAATGGAGGCTCAATGATACCCCGTATGTTGATCTCTCGTTCCAGGAGACTGGTAGCCGGTCTTCCTGGCAGGTCCAGCAGCTGCGCCATGCGGCATGCGACGCCGTAGTAGATGTTTTCTGATTCTCCATCGCCATTGGCAGTCAATGCTGCCCCTATCAACACGCAGAGTTGTATCGTTGGCAGAGAAATATCACGTAGATTTAGAAGCGCCTCGGCAGCTCGTATGTAAGCATGGCTTCTGTCTCGAGGGTCAACGTCTGCAAACTCCGGGTCGGTTGAGAATCTACGGTATCATTAGAGTTGTGATTTATTCCATCTCATCGGATCCACATGTTCTGCTTGGCAGCATACGAAAAGACGCACCTTGCAGATAGCGCGCAAATACCAAAAAGAATGCCGTGGTGCACTCGGTCGCCGAGTGCATCCTCGATGAAACTCGGCCGATGGAAGAGGGAATGGAACTGGTCATGGATGTAGTCAAAGTAGAGTCTCACGAGGTCCAGCCGGACCGGCAAGCTGGGCAGTGCGGCGGCGGCATGCGAAGTAGCCTCACAACGCGTGCACCAACCACCAGTTTGAGATGCAGACGATGCACTTCTGGCTGCGTGGTAACTACTTTGCTGATGTATTGATGGGTTCCGCTCTTCTACGAGGCGTTCTTTACGCTGGGCCTCTCGTTGCTCATAGTAGCCTCCCTCGGGAGGTCTTTGATCGCATTTGATGCCCCTCTCGTTGCAGTACACGCAGTCGATGAGGCCCTCGCGAGTTTGACACTTACGCCTGCGGGCCCTAGGAGATTTTTGTCAGATCACAAGGCGACCTGAAGTGTCACGAAAGGTCCAAAATGGGACGAGTATGTTACCGGCACGCAGCACAAGCCGAGGGTTTCCGCATGGCGGCGGGGCTGGATTCCCTTCGGACTGAACACCGCCCTGTGGTTGTGTATATGTCGTGGCCTTGTCCGCAGCCAGAAAAGAAAGCAAACAAGATGGGGCGATTGCAAGCAGCAACTGCAAGAAGCGCAATACTCCGTCGAGAATTCCGATTTCTTCCAAAGATGACTAGGGTCGTATCCCACTACGCGGTGGTTACCCGGCCGAGTTGGTTCGACCGGGACCCAAGAGACTACAGAACTCTCCCCCCCGCCGGGCGGTCTACCACGGATCGGGAAAAGGCGGCGGGAAACGAGCGGAAAAGTCGCTCAAACCTTGCCCTAGACATCTGATCGGTGACACCCACAAGCCGTTGGACGAATGATCGCGTCGCTTTGCTTCCCCAAAGGTCTCGACCGACCGTTGCTCCCAACCCCGGAGAATTCCCCATGGGACCCTCATATGATGCGGCAGACTTTGAACTTGTTGTACGACGTTGGCACGTTGGTTTCTCGAAACGTCTGATTGCCAATGTTGTCCCTTCATCTTTATGGGGTTCTCCGCATTGCCTCGGCATTAAAATGAAAGCGGTCGGATTAATCTGATGTAGGGATTGGTCTCTCAGAGTTTGGCACTCTCAGGGTCGCCAAGTCCCTCAAGTCGTCCCGTGGTAATGGTAGGTTGCAAACAGCTTCCCCGCCTTCACTTTCTATAAATGCGACGCTGTGTCCCATTGTTGTGGGTGGTTTTGGGAATAACCTCATTCGTAGTCGCCTAGACCCCCAGGTGCTCTCTTGCAAGAGTCTTCAGCATGGCTCAGACAAAGACTGTGGGCGCTGAAGCGGTGCCAACCGTCAGCCACCATAATGACAACAATCCTGGTGAGGCCATTACGGCTATGCAGAACGAGCGTCAGATGAGTGTGAGAGATTCCTTTCGCTTCTGGCCGAAAGCGATTCTCTTTTCGTTCATCATCTCTCTGGCAATCATCATGGAGGTATGAGAATCATCATGTAGGTTAAGGCGAAAACGCGACTGACTTCTTAAAGGGCTATGATACCAATCTCATGAGCAACTTCTATGCTTTTCCAGCCTTCATGAAGCGATATGGTGACCAAGTCGATGCCAATGGTGACCCTCTGGTCTCGGCTCGCTGGCAAACCATCATCAACAATGGCACTCAGGCTGGCTCAATCCTTGGTCTCATCCTCAATGGCATCATCACCGAGTGGATTGGCTACAAGAAAACTATGATTGTTGCGATGGTTGCCATGATCGGGGCTGTCTTCATTCCCTTCTTCTCAAACGGTCTTCCAATGTTCTTGGCCGGAGCCTTGATTCAGGGCATCCCGTGGGGTATCTTCCAGACTCTCGCCGTTACCTATGCGGCCGATATCTGTCCCATGTCCCTCAGAGGTCGGTTCTCTTTTGATCTTAGTGCGCAATGGCTCCTTACTAATTCGACTTGCAGGATACATGACGTCTTGGGTGTATGTTTGATTAGACTCTCGTCCGAAGAAGTCTGCCAGCATTGCTAACTGATACCCATAGAAACATGTGCTGGGTAATCGGCCAGCTCATCAGCAGTGGCATGCTTCGAGGGCTTCTTCAAATCGACAATCAATGGGGATACCGCATTCGTAAGACAACCCAGCATGCATGACTTTACTATTCAGAATAACCATTGACTAGAAACTCATCGCAGCATTTGCCATCCAATGGGTTTGGCCCGTTCCCATCATTATCGGCACGCTCTTCGCCCCCGAAAGCCCTTGGTGGCTCGTTCGCCAAAACCGCCTCGAAGACGCACGCGAAGCAGTCCGCAAGCTGACCTCGCCAAAGAGTGATATCGACTTTGACCTGGACGCCCACATCGAGATGATGCGTGTGACGAACCAGTTCGAGATCGAAGTCAGTTCGGGCGCTCACTACTGGGACTGCTTCCGTGGCGTCGACCTTCGCCGCACTGAGATCGCGTGCATGGTCTGGCTGACGCAGTCCTTCTGCGGTGTGCCGTTCATGGGCTACGGCACGCAGTTTATGATCAACGCTGGTCTCAGCTCGGAGAATGGATTCACGATGAGTTTGGTGCAGAACTGCATCGGTCTTATTGGCTGTATCATTGCTTGGTACATCATGACTCACATCGGCCGCCGCACTCTGTATCTGGCTGGTCTGTCGGCCATGTTTGTGATTCTTGTCGTTATCGGCGGCATTGGTATTCCACAGGACGCTGCTGGGTTGCCAGCACGGTCATGGGCCGTGGGAGCCCTCATCATCGTGATGCTCTTTTCCTTCCAGCTCAGCGTCGGTCCCTCGTGCTACACCTTGGTCGCGGAGATGCCGTCTACTCGTCTCCGTGTCAAGACGGTCGCCCTGTCTCGCGCCTTTTACAACTGCGGAGGCTTCATCGTCAACGCGCTACAGCCAAAGATTGTGGGCAAGAATGACTGGAACTGGGGAGCGAGAGGCGGCTTCTTCTGGGCTGGCATCACTGTGCTCTTCCTTACGTGGACCTTTTTCCGTCTTCCGGAGCCCTTTGGTCTCACGTACTCTGAGATTGACTTGCTCTTCGAGCACCGTGTTGGCGCTCGTCACTTCTCGCAGGAGGCGGCTGACTCTCTACGCCCGCAGCTGGAAGAGGTCGCCAACCGTCATGAGAAACTGGCTGCTACGGTGAGCCATAAGGAGGCATAGTTGGATGAAAGCTTTGATCACGCCTATCGGAAATACCGTGTTTTGGTCGAGAGCGAAATCATCCAAGCATGGTTCAACAGGGTGGCTCAATCAATAATGCTCTGGTTTAATTGAAAATACCCAATGAATTAGACCTCGCATCGCGACTCACTTGAATAACAATACTGAAAGCATCGTCGGAAGAAGTGTTACACTACTCCGCACTATCCACCGACATGTTTCCACGGGTCGCAGTAAGGCCGACCTCAAGACAGTTGTACCGATTGATTAAACCACCCTATATACAAAAGGTCGAAACCTTTGCACCTCAAGCTAAAGATCTGTTATAGTAGTACATAGTGTGTCCTGCAAGACCCCATAGAGTTGGGCAGGTTTGTCAGAGATAGCCTAAGGGGCCAGACTGATGCAGCCGTTGGTGCTGTCCTCCTGGAAAATACCGCTGTAGACGATGCCCTCATCAATGCCGTCCGGCTGAAACCCATTCTTGGTAATATCGCCCTGACCTCCGACGGGCTTCTTCAGGATACCAAAGTGGTACTGTCCCTGGCCCTTAATATCATTGAGCTGGGGTTCCCCCTGGGCCTCCAAGTCGTTGTTATCGGTCGAGTAGAATACCTGGACGGTGCTACACGAAGTATTAGTGTCTGAAAACACACTCCAGGCTCGGAAAATACTCACTTCGCGTTGAAATCCATGGTCACGGCAAAGTTATGAATGGTGTTCTCCGTGAAGGGGGTGCTGAAGAGGACAGGAGGTGCCGGCTTGGTGTTGACATTGCCAAAGAGTTGCAGTGTATCCGGGTCGACCGTTGCGTCGCCACCCAGGATGGTGCCGGTCTTGAGAACGACTTGGTTCGTGCTGAAGTCATTACTCTCCAGGAAAGCTAGCTGATACTCGTGCGAGAGATTCAGAGGACGCTGGACGTCTTTCGAGAGGCTGAAATGTAACGTCTTCAGGCCAGTCGTCGACTCATCAGTTCCCGTGTTGCTTGATGGGATGAGTTCAGCGCGTCGAAAGCTCGTCTGTTTGTTGAAGATTGACTGATCGCTAGTGCAATCGTTAGCTGGGTGCTCTAAACGCCGATCTTGCTGGACTTAGACTGACCTGATTGTAACTTCCAGGGGAACATTATCGTTACCGTCAAAAGGTGAGCTGGCCTCATTAGGCAATTGTAACACTTTGCTGAAGCTCAAACCAGCTCCGAAGACATTCTGCGGACTGAAGAGGTTGTTCTCGGCATCAAATGCTTCTGCCTCAGTTCCAGTTGCGACACGGCCATCGAATTGCAGAGTACATTGCTGAGCCAATGCCACCGAGGCAAACGAGAGAAGAGTGAACGACTTGTAGTACTGCATGATGGAGAAGTGATATTGGACCAGCCTAGATAAAAAGAGTGAACCGATAGATTTACAAATGAAAAAAAAGTGCTGGCATAGAGCAATGAGGAGTAATACCACGGGATCGCGACATTGGCAGCTAAGAGAAGCACGAGGACAGCCTTTAAATATGCTACTCCACCACTTACTTGCTGGTTAGAGTCTCTGACCTGAAGGGACCATGAGCGATTCATGCGCTCGTGCCAAGAGTTTGGGACGTGTTCGTCGTGTCTTTGGATTCGGCACCAAGCGAGCTGAGGCCTGTCAGGGCCCTCATCCAGGTCCTATTCTGAGTTCAAACAAGGCACGGCGACTAAAAGAAGGTGCAGACTGAAGAAGGTTTCTCTCTCAGGCCGGGGCAATCGGGGAGGTCACGGGCGGAGTTTCTAGTCTTAAGATTAGGTTGACATATATGGCAGTTGGCTGAGGCTCAACGGGCGGGCGCGAAAACGTCTGTCAGAGTTACCGCATGGGTGCGTGCCGGGGCTATGGAGATCAAACGAAGCCGTCTCAGTGACGATACATATAACGCTGGCATCTCCCTCAACGTCCCGCGATGTTCACGGAACGGAAACATCAGATGGATCAAGCCGACAGCTGTCGGCAATATGAGATGAGAGCGGGATCCTTGCGCAAGTGACTGTCTGCCTTGCTTATGGCTCATAGAACGAGTACCATGCTGCCGCCGGCTTCGTCTCATGTTTTCACATGACGCTCATTCCAACGGGTTGAGCACACTGCCGGTGAGATGCCATTTCCCCACATCAGTCAAGCATTCACTTCTAGAAGAGATTGGAGCTCAGGATCATGCCTTTCATGTCACACAGAGGCGGCAGATCGGTTGTGATGGACGGTCCGCCATGGATGGATGACCATTAGTGCAAATTCGTCGGGAGGCCTGGCTCCGTAAACTCTGTCATCTTTTTAAAATTGCCTTTGCCCTGGATCAAAGTGTCTGTCGAGCCTCATGACAGCACCACCAGAGTTGAGTGGTAGCAGAGGACTGAGAGTTAACAAGGTTTCCGGCAGTGACAGTAGACAGGTGCCAAATCTGCTGACACTCCGGCGCATGGGCAAGGGCATGGACTCATGTCGACATCGATCACGTTCAGCCGTTAAACCAAGCGTCGTTGAGCAGAGGCGTTGCCATTCCTCTGATTCGGCTTTGAGATGGAGAATTAAGAATGATGGTATTGATGACAAATTTGACATGGGATTCAGCATTGCTTTGTGTACGTCCTCTTGAGTTTTGGGTTGTCGCGGTCGGCTGTCCTGCTTTCCCCCTCTTGTCCCCAGCGTCTCCATCTTCCGTTCCTCTCAGGCTTATATGATGATTCTAACAGATATTAGAAAGGGAACTGAGACTTAAAGAGTAACACCTGAAAAGAGAGTGTCATTGGGTGTATGGGTTGAGGGAACCTGGAAGTGCACAATTCCCAAGTGCTCAGGTTCCTTATCCGATGGAGACTCTTATCGATAATGCTATCCTTATCTTTATCACCTACCTTACCTTAGTACCTGGTGGATCTCGGTGATCTCACTAAGGCGAGGTTAGCGATCTGGGCCGCTAACGCTAAGCTGTTGGCGTCTTTGCTCGCTGGGGTCTTATTCTTCGGGGCGGTCGCGGTTCATAAACAACATCTGACTTCACCAGGGAATCTTGAACACGCATTCGTGTGGTCAATCTCCTCAATTGCACCTTCCTACTGACCACCCGGCGATTTCTTCAGACTGCAACAAGTTCCGTTCGCCTTCCGCTCAAAAACGCGAGCATTCGACAGCATCTATAGCTCGACTGTTAAGCTTTCGAGCTTTGGTTTTCCCGAGCACCTTCTGAGACGCGTCTGTTCATGTCAAGCTTGGGCCTCGACAGTCGCCTCGCCACAACCTCGAACTCACGTTTTTCTCGATTTCGCGACTTGACACGATTCTGTCAATTGGACATTCGGAGGCTGCCGTGAACACAGCAGCTCCGTTCTCCGACCTAAGCCGCCGACATCGAGACTCATCCAGCAGGTCACGGTACCGCGAACCCTGGTCTGGCACCTCCGGCCCACCGCGTCTGTACCGCTACCAACCCCTTCCACCACCGCGTCGCCGGAGACTACGATCCCAAGAAGACTGCGCAGCTGTCCGCCACGGTTGCATTACGGAATCCGGAGAAGACATAGCGTTTGTGTCTCTCCCGACAAAGTTTTGAGAAGTCCAATCGACTGCCAGCTCTGCCCGGCCCAGTTGAGTCGACTTGACCAAGGGCTTGGAGGTCCAGACGCCACCATACGTCTGAGGCGCAATACATCTGGACTTCACAGCAAGCGAATTTTACAGCCGAAATCCGAAAACGAAGCCGTTCTATCTCTCGCGCCGAACATAGGTTTACAAAGTCTGGCGTTCGTGTCGCATTGTTGTCAGACGCGCCTAGGCCATCAGCATCATAATAGCAGTGTCTAATTGTCGGAACTCCACTCCGGACAGTCCAATGTGCCGACTCTAGGACGCCCTTCAGTATGCCTACCACCCAGGTCACCCCGACAGAGGATATTCTTCTGCAAGGGATTGCCGACTCTCTATTCAAGGCACGAAAGGTTGTGGTCATTACTGGCGCAGGCATCAGTACAAATTCGGGCATTCCTGTAAGAGCCAACGCCGGAAGTGCTCCCCAACCCATGCTAATAAATGACACTTAGGACTTCCGAAGCGAAAATGGGCTTTACTCCCTGATCCAAGCCCAGTTCGATGCCGCGAATCGTGTGGACGTTGTCGAACCGAGGAGTTTTGGATCAGCTGATGCCAGTCGCGAGGAACGGGAACCGCCTACGAAACGGAGGAAACTTTCATTCGAGGATTCCGGCATTTGTCTAAGTGATGACTCGCAAAACTCACAAACTCAGGGAAACCATGCATCCGCTTTGCAGGGTCCCGACTCAAATACGGCGAGGTCTACTGGGCCCATCACTAGGGCGAGGTCGAGGGAATCAACAGTCGATGCTCGGAGTACCAGTACCGACGACGCACCCATTTCGGTTGGCGGACCAAACCCGAGCAGATCTTCAAGGGAGAGCGCAAGAGCTCAGTCTTCGCCCCCAGATGAGAGCACTCGGAAAGACCTGGACACCAGCAGGAACCCAGGCTTCGTGGAAGCCCACAACCAAACACCCAGTGACGGAGCTGTCCGCAGTTATCTTCGGAGGAGGGGAAGGTCTGCAAGCCCGTGTGCCCAGCGAGCCAACGCTTATCAGGCGAGCTCTGCTGAGATGCGCAAGAGGTCTTTGCTGACTTCGACCATTGCCTCTGTGCAAGGTTCGGGGAGCATTGAAGCCGTCAGCTCGACTTCAATTCCGACTCTGCCTAGGGCTACGTTGTCCAAGAATGGCGAGCACTTGGAGGAGAGGAATACGGTTCACGTTACGCCGAAAACCTCAAGGTTCTTCTTCAGCTCCTCGCCTCTGTCATCGCCACCTAGTGCATTTCCGCAAACGCCTAGTTTTTTAAGAGACGCAAGCCGCTTCACACGATCGACTCTACGACAGCAGCCAATGGGTTTCAGTTCCTCGCCATTGTCGTCGCCTCCGCCAGTCTTATTCGATCCCTTCGAAGAGCCTTCATCGTCAATTAGTAGGCAGACATCAAGTGCGGCTAGCAGCGCGGCATCTTCGGAAACCGACGAAACGCCACCGTCCTCACAGCCTAGCAAGTCGACTTTGCCCAACATCAAAGGCAGAGATCTATTTGATGCCTCCATATGGGCGGATCCCTTGAGGACATCGGTATTTTATACGTTCGCTACGACACTCCGGGAGAAGGTGAAGGACGTCGTGCCCACGGAATCTCATCATTTTATCGGCCATTTACGCAATCGTGGGAAATTGGTCCGATGCTACACGCAGAACATTGATCAGATCGAGGAGAAAGTTGGGCTTTCCACCTCTCTCCAGGACGGACCGGGGCATCGAGGTCGCTTCTCGAGGAAATCTGTCGGGGCAGTCTTGGCTACGGCGGCAACGGGAGGTTCCGCAGGAGAGTCTGTCTCCGCAACACCAGAAACGAGTGATACCAAAGATTTGGAGGAACCAAAAGCGCCTGATGGTGGCGGTGTCGCGGAGTCGGCCGAAGCGACTCCGTCAGCCGAGCCGCAAATTCAGCAGCACGCTGACAAGAAGTCGAATGGTGTGGAATGTGTCTTCTTGCACGGGTCACTGGAGTCTCTCCGGTGTTTTCTCTGTGGGAAGATTTGCGACTGGGATGAAGCCGACAGATCACACGAGACGCTCTCTGGGCGACAGCCTGAGTGCCCGTATTGCGCTGGAGCAACGGCTGCACGACAGGAGAGGGGCAAGAGAGCGTTGGGTGTGGGCAAGCTCAGACCAGATATTGTGCTTTACGGCGAGGAGCACCCGAATGCCCACCTCATTTCACCCATCGTCACCCACGACCTAGGATTGTCCCCGGACCTGCTCCTCATTCTCGGTACATCACTGAAAGTTCATGGCCTGAAGATACTGGTCAGGGAGTTCGCCAAAACCATCCACAGCAGGGGCGGCAAAGTCGTCTTTGTCAACTTCACGAAACCCCCAGAAAGTTCATGGGGGGATATTATCGACTACTGGGTACAGTGGGATTGCGACGCGTGGGTTGCCAACCTGAAGGAGAGAGTACCCTTGCTCTGGCTGCCACCCGGCACAAAGTTACCTAAGAAGAAGAAGGAGAGCAGTGAAAAGACGAAGAAACGCCAGAGCTCGACGGAGGAGAAGCCCAAAACGGAGGTTGTGAAACCGTCAGCAAAGCTATCCACGAAACTATCTACAGATTCAGCCCCAGGTTTGCGGACAGGATTGCCGCTCGACTCTCAACCAGTGACGACAACGAAGCCAGAGAAGCCTTGCAAAGCTCCGAAGCTGGACAAGGTAGTCAAGACCGAGCCTCTCACGACGCCGCTGGAGGTCGATGCTCCTCTCAAGTCTGTTCCCCAGAGGCCAATGGCAGTCCGCGATGACAGGACGAGCGCTGCTTGGGTGACATGGAAGGTGATGGTTGAACTTCGCCGGATTGTTGGCAGCATAACTCCGACGACATCAACATCCCCTACGGCCCTCCGTGTTGAAAAGTCAAAGACGAGGAGATCGAGAAAGTCAGCACCGGCTGCTCTGTCACGGCCGGCTCCTGTTCTTCCAGACCAAACAGAGAAGAGCCTCCAGCTAAGACCAATGATGGCACAGGCCGAGCAGGAGACTGGCCAGACAGATTCGGCTCGAAACGAGGGTGCCGGTGCGCAAGTGGCCATGCCAGACGCAGCGGAAAGCTCCATCTTTGCCGCTGTCAAACTCAACCCTCGGATGCGGAAGCGAAAGACAATTGATGGCGAGGAAATTTTCGTGCCTGGCATGCCGCGGCCAGTTGTTGCCAAAACACTCCCACGACCGATTCCACGAAAGATCAAGGCACCACACGCTAAAGAGAGGCCGGTCATTGTGTCGCCCAAGATTCTCTCCGACATTCAGCGTCCATCCATGGACTCACTCAGGTTGCCACCACTTCAAACGACGAAGGCGCCCGCCGCCACGCCATCGAAGCCTCAGCCATTGGAGCCTCTTAGCTCCCCAGCGGGTCCCCTGTCAGCTATCTCATCCAATACGCAGAGTCGGGTCGACTCACGCATAGCGAACCCTTTCTTTCTGTCGGATCCCCTCTTGTTACGACTAATCCAGGCCCCAGACTGGACCCCTCCTCAAAGTCATGGTTTCAAGCCCAACAAGCTCGAAAGAAAGTCCACCAAGGATGCAGACGCCGCTATGGCGTTGCAGGAACTCAAGCAAGGATAATTGTCTGGGTCACTGCAGTAAACACTCTCCGATATGGAGAGAGAATTGCATATAGTAGTTTATGGATAGAGGAAGCGCTGAATTATACCCCCGCGGTCGACTGTATTCCGTATACCGCACTCTAGATCCAGGTGCAACCAACATTAATGGTTCGTGATTCTTGACACACATTCTTGACTCGTCCGCGACCGTATCTTTCACAACCCATGACAGATGATCTCCTAAGGCTCTAGGCCGAGGGTCTTGACGCTACGCCCCAGGGCCCTGCCGCAGAGCATCCACCGTCTGCATTGCGAATAGGCTTTGCGTGCGATCTGGCGTGCCGTTGTTCGAGAAGGCTAGTCCCAAGCTAGGCTGCTGCACATGCCCAAGCGCAAAAAAACATCCAAGCCTAGTGGGCGAGTCAGGCTTTGTGTTTCTTTTGTCTGGGCCCTTGATCATCGCTGAGAACAAGAAAGTGTTTCTTCCAGAGCTTGGTGCCAGTGTCGCAGGTCCACGTGGAGTGAGCTTCTGAGCTCCATACTAGGTACGTGTTGTTGAACATTGTATGTCACTCGGTTGTCACTCTCTTGTCAGAGATAGCACAACTGGCTGCCAACTCCAACTTGTTGAACAATGGCGCGCTAACATGAGTTTTAGGCTGTCTGGAACCACTTAGCAGTCAATAGTCTGCAAGGCAATGGGCGCCAATCTTGTTGCCACTCCCAGACGACCGTATCACACGCGTGTAAGAACCAAACAGTCGGTATCACTGCGATGGCGAGCCCTAGATCCATGGATCCCTGGTCCGTCAAAGTCCAGGGATCAGGCACGTCGTGAGCGAGCGCCAGATGGTCCGTTACATCCCGCACAAGTTGGATCGCAAAGCAGTAACAACAGGAAATGAGCCATCGCGGGCAGACGGAGTAGACCCCGACGAGCTGCCCTAAGACTTAAGTAAGAGCTCTGACGACGCCCGGATAGCAAGCGGGGGGTCACGAGGGATGCGAGCTCTGGAACTCATGTACGATGTGTATTCTCCGAGACAAGAGCAACATCCGCGAGATCGCGGTGCGGCTGAAGGTTGGCATGGAAGCCTGGGGGTTCTTCAAGTCGGTGAGACGAATCGTGGGCCGAGAGTGCAGTAGTCTCGGCCGGCGCACGTTCTGGCAGATTTCAGCTCCGCATCTGCAGCCTCATGATGAGCCATCAGAAGAATGTTTCGAGAGGCGAAAGCCCACCTTAGCGGCTTGATGCTGCGCGTGGAAGCGCGTAAAGGGTCCAGAACCTTCAATCTTCGGGTTCGCAACCTTTACGAAGGGCGAGTAAAGTCTCCTTGAACCTTTGGTCTGGATGTGCATCCAGTCGGTCTGCCCGCTCCAAGTGCCGAGCCTTGCATACTGAATCGAAGTGGCCATGAGTTATCACGCCATCCAGGGCAAGTTTCTGCCACAGCATTTAGGTTCCCAGACCATGATTTGCTGAAAAGCGAGAGCGGAAAAAAACAGCACACGACGAAGTATCTCGAGGGCGCGAATAGGATGCCCAAGTAGCCCGAAAGAGTCTCCAGCTCGTCGGGCCAGGCGTGGCAGACTACTAGACGAGTTTCTCCAAGCTTACTTCGTGCTCCACCTGTCGAGACTGGAACGGAAAGTAGCCATATGTTGTTGACTGGAAGTTAGTTGCCGGGAAAACTGCTGAATGTGCTAGCTGGAGACGTTGTTGTACCACATCAGATACACGTGGTGGTTCGTCAAGCAGTTCTGCAGGTGGCTGCCATGGTTCGAGCTATGCGTTTCCGGACAATCGTCCCTTGAGCCAGCAGTAGAAGAGTTCCAGGCTATAGCATCCTAGCCCATTAGATGATGGTACCTAGAAGGATTGAAGTTGGAGCTTGCTGGGACACATGAGACACGGGACAAAAGGAAAATGTTTGGCGAAGAAGCAGCGGGGCGAGGTAAAAGCGGTGGCGCTTTTTGGGAAGCTGGAAGATCCAGAGGGTGTGTGAGAGGGTGTCGAGTGGTTGGTGGTGAAGCAAAGTCGAGATGGTTTTGTTGATGATTGGTAAGGAGGTGTGGTGGGTGAGGAGTCGTTGACCGTGAAAGCTTGGTAAGAAGCCGAGACGTCATTCGCTCCCGGAGCAGGAGGAGAGGGCGGAGTGGTGGTGGTGGTGGATCCCGCTAGAAGCACCGGACTTGCGCCCCGTCCTCCACAGGTGGCTTCCACCTTCTCCAACACAGACGGGGGAATATACTGGGGAAATTGGCGCTTACCTAAGGCAGCGTCCCTACCTTCCCGCCTTCTGTCTAAGGTATGTACCTAGGCAAACTCTTGTGTGGGTATGTACCTGCTACATGTGCCGAAATTGCCATCCAGGTTCCTTTCCATTCCCTCGAGCAGGAACTGCGAACTGCCTAAGGTAGGTCGTTGGTGGCTGCTGGGGTACTTTGCGTGGCGTTAAAGCGTTCGGTTTCTTCACCGAGCTCTTCCTTCCTTTTCTGAGGTGAGGTGGTCTAAGGTAGATCTCACCTGCACCTGCACTTGCTCACCTTGGCTGCTCCATCTGAGCAAGGAAGGAAGGGACGATCTTGGATCTTGATGGCGATCCCTGCCTGTCGTTGCACTGCACAAACTGCACAAACCCTTGACCTCACGGGCCAACTCGCAGTCAACCTTGTTCCGTTCCAGTTTACTTTAACCAAATTTCAACTTCATTTGACCTCAATGTATCGCCTCCGCCAGCCTCCCTCTTCTCCTCGGCCCTGACTCCGGGCTCTGTCGCAGCTTACCTCAGTCATCCATACAGACTATTCCCAGTGCGACCATTTCTCCAAATCCTATCAGTTGACAATGTAGACATCACAAAGCATGGGAGGTAGTGTCTCTTTTGCTACCCTAATCTGGGCATTTTCGAGCTTAGCCGGACAAGCTCCTTTCTGAGCTCTATTCCCCATCCGGCACATCGCAATCGTCTCTTCTGGAGAGCTCCGTTCAGGGTAGATGGGCATTCCGCTATACGGATATCTGCATACAAAGCATACGAATACCTGCAAAGAACACGCCCCCAGTGGAATGCCTCGTTGGGACGCCACGAGTCTCACCTGTCGCATGTCCTTTCATAACCACGAGGATAGGCACCGTGTGGCCATGCCTTTCCACGCCCTACCGTCTAAGTGGACTTGTTGATGGTGTCTTCGACAAGTACGGGTTGATGGGAAAGTTTCAACCGAGTCGTCAGCCAACCATACATGGGGTTTGCATCTCTCGTCATCGAGATCGCGGATGACAACCTCCGGTGTAACGCGAGACAAGCAAGCTTCATGGCATAAAGAAATTGTCTCTGCTATCCCGTTCCTAACGGTCTGGGATACCTTAGCCAATGCTTGACGCCCCCGCGCCCCCGTCGACAAAGAAGGATCAATCCAAATGCATACACATTTGCGTCTTGCCGCGTGTTGGCCTTCGCACGCGGCAAAGGCCATAGATGTAGGCATATCGAAAAGTCGCAATTGCCGCTTCCCCTCCAGAATTCGATCGAGCGATCGACACAACTCACCAGGCACGCCGGGTTAGCCAGGTCAACGCTGCCTACTGTCTCACTTTAGACAACACCAATGGACAACAAAACAATACGGTCGTTGAAGTGGTCGATCATCCCCGAATCCGGCGATTCCCTGCCATCAGCTGGTGTTTGGTCCCTGGAAAATATTAGTCAATATCACCACAGTTTGGGCAACCCTCGATGTTGTTCATGAGAACACGCCTTCTGCGCGATTTCGGTTCACCTAACTTTGCGAATCACCTTCCAAATTTACCATACATCCGTGCGAGCTGCAATTCTTATGAGCATCTCCATGACGTATTGGCAAATGACTTTTCGCGCTTCTCGGCAGGCATTGTCCGCTTGAAGAATCACAAGTCTCCGCATATAGAGCCGCTGCGCTTCTTGACACTCTCCTGAAGACGCTAGCGGACTCTTTGACGCTGGGCTGGGACCGCAAGCTCTCAATCTCTGCCTGCGCTGGATGGCGCTTTGGCTCCTCGAACCACTTGTGGGAGCGTCTTACCTGCCTTAGCCTCCTTCTTCTCTGCCACACATGGCACCAAAACTCCCCCGCCTGGACGCTTCAGGAGACCCGTCTGGCTGATCGGATTTTCGTTCTACTGCCGCTTCAAACATCATGTCAAAGCTTAAGCAACACGGGGCTTGTTTTCCCTTTGTCGTTCAGTTAACAAGCGCCGTATTCTGGTTTGTTTTGCATTCTGAAGTATCGACAGAGTTGCTCTGCCTGCAGGGGGGATGCTTCGGTGCATACCAAAATCTGGGGCTACGGAACATGCGGAAGACCACGGAGACACGAATGACTTACATGGTGGACAGGATGGGTACTTGAAGAGTACTTGTCGAGTTGGAAGAGGTGCCCGCCACTTCAAAGTCATAGGCTCGCCCGCACGAACGCCTCAGGGTTCTTCCAGAGCCTCGCTATTTCTGGACTTAGAGGCCCTCGTCCTCAGTCATATCTCTACTCTGTTCCGCCTTGGGAACACAGCTGTCCACTTTTGGTTTCTACATCTCAATCGATCCATCTCGGCTTGCCAGGTTATTGCTGACACTCCTCATCGTTTTTCTGATTCGTTGTTTCGCTTTTCGAGCATTTTGTTCTGGCTTTGCCGATTGGGCCACAACTGCTGCTCCGGCCAGACGCATTCTTGGATCGGCCATACACCACACCAATTCTGGGAATATTGCTCCTTGCGTTGAGCTGATACGCTTTTGGGTGGTCCACCTCTGGATGGGATTGGATGCCTCAGTCGAGCTGGCGGTCTGACACTGATTTACAAGGTCCAGACGAACGGAGCCCACGGCGGCCAGCCGCATTACTATAAAATGGTCAATCCTAATCGATGGTCATGGTCGGCGGGGCCACGAAGAAGTTCAATCCGAGGGGACGCGGTGAGCAGCTCTCAGCCATTAGCACGCTCTCCCGACAAGCCCATTTCGTGCGAGGTCGACGTCCCAAACGACCAAAACCTGCAGGGTGGCGGTGCTACCAGTGTCTCATCGCGCCGTTTGACCAAGAATCGGTGGAGCTGGCGGCCAGATGCAGCCATATCTGTGACTCTGGAAGATCAATCAGAGACAATACAGGGCGAGAGGCAAGACAGGGAGCAAAATTCGGAGCAAGCAGACACATCAGCAAGCAAATCCCGCCGGTTGTCCAAACTCATCAAAAAGACGGATGCCGCTCCTACTTCTGCGTCTCGACCAAAACGGAGGCCAACGTCTATGATAGCACCGACAAGCTCTTCTTTCGGAGCATCACCTTCTTATTCCCACCCCGCTTGCCAGGCGGTGCAGCAGCACTCAGTGGACGAGGAGGATCATTCCTCTCACGCAAGCCCCCTTCCAAACCAGTCTGTCACAGGGGTCAAGAGCAAGCTCAATCGTTTTCTTGGTCGACATATCACCACCCGGCAAGTTGACAAGAAAGCCGTGCCGGTGCGACATCAGCATCAGCAGACACAAGTAGATCCGACACCGCCGCCATCCCGACAGCAGCAGCAAACACAAAGACCCATGCCGATGCAACCCCCGATGCGCCATCGTCTCCAACTCCACAATCCCCAGAACACGCTTCGGGCATCGCCAGCCCCCCCTGTCGCCCACATTCAGACTCAGGGTTACACTGACAACGGTCGTCTTGTTGCACCGCTGCCAGGGCTCGACGAAAACTCGCAGCTGCAGCTGCCGCCAGCGACAAGCCGACCCGCGACTGCCACGGGTTCAGTCCCGGCAGCGGCGCAAAGTCTTGGTACTAGTACCTCGTCGTCATTAACTGCTGCACCTTCGGCAGATGAGACAGGGTTGCTGAACCGCCTTATGCGACGACGATTGGCTTCCAAGGACAAGGACGCTCAAAATAAGAAGACGTCGATCTCCGCCAGCAGCGATAACACAAGTTCGTCCCCGGGATTCGACCAGCAGAGGACCACGGAGCAGCGCGAGACGCAGACACGGCCTCTGCTCATGAACCCGCTCATGTTGAACCCGTCGCACCCAACACCTGCCGAAAGTGAGACTGTCTTGGATGCGCGAAGAGGCTCTTTGAAGTCCTCAGTGCCACGATTCCTACGTCCAGTCACACTACCACAGCAAGCACTTACGAATGCGACCCAGACTGCAGGCGCGGTCAATCCACACAAGTCCAAGTCGCCTCCCCAACAGCAGTCAATCATGCAGACCTCGAGTTCTGATGCGCCGACGCAGCTCAAGTCGCGATCCAAACCCAGTTTCGGAAAGAGATTCTGGTCGAGATCCGGCGCCAATGATTTTGGAGAGGACAACGTGACCAACAGCGAGACACCGGCAACAGCATCGGCGCCGCGGACGGCCTACGTTCCTAAACACGCCGCGGCTGACTTTTCGCGTACGACTTACACAAATACGTCGCGCCACAATCGCCATAGCTTTTCATTTGGTAGCGACCCGGACAACGGCGCTCAAGCACTGGCCACAATAACGGCCGCCGCCTCCAGGGTGAATGAGCCGGAGCAGCCTCTCCAGAGGCAACGGACGCCATCCGCAGAGACTGCCGAGAAGCGCAGGTCACGGGACATGTCGCTGTCCAAGTATGAGGCGCCGCCTCCCCAAGAACTGCACCGGCGTCTCGAGATTGTTAGGAGCAGTGAAATTGAAGTGGTAACCACTAGGGAACCGGTCGCGGTCGACCCTTGGCAGCAGCAGCACAACGTGTTGCAAAATGCTTCAAATACGTCGTTGGCGAACGGCAAGGCTCCCGCGAGACCTCACTCTCGTCCATTGTCATCCAAACGACACAGCTTCAATCTTGTATCCGACCCTTACGCCAGAGACCTCACGCCACCAAAGTCAATTTCTCCAGTCGAGATGGAAGCGCCGTTTGACCCGCCAAGCCAGCCAGAGCAGCAGCAGGCGCCGCCATCAGCACCGCCACGGCCCACCTCGTCTCACACTCGTCCGCAATCACGACAAGAGACTCCATCGCAAGAGACCGGTAGCCGCGAACTTACGGACTATGAACGTTTCGTGGCAGAGGCAGAGGTTGCCGAACGCGAATATCACGCCCAAATGTGGCGAAACCTCGCCCGCCGTTCCGGACATTACGGGTACAGCGACAACCCTTGGAGTGCGACTCGACAAGCCGATGCTCCTGCTCCTGCTGCGCAACGCAACAACAAGAGGAGCAGCGCGCAGTACTCGACGGGGGCTGGCAAGCGTGCAAGCATGATGTCGTTTGCCGCGGCTGACGACGAGCGCAACTTGATCTCGTCAAGCTTTTATGGCGAGGCGCCACGCAAGCCGAGTCTCTCACACAGCGCTAGTGTTGGAGCAGACGGGAAAAGGGGACTTCGACACCAGGGGAGCGTGTCGAAGAGAATCTCGGACTACATTAAGCCACCAAAGCCATCTCAGCAAGCCACTTACGAGGATTGGCCTTCTGGACGAGCCAACAGACGAAGTGTCATTGCTGGAATTTCTGAATAGTGAAAAATGAGATATGACGGAGAATTTTGCGGTTAGAAAGGATCATTGTCTTGAAGATATTGGATGTTGATTGCATAGAAGGGAGAAGGGATGTTTTTGGCGCAACATGGACACCAAGACGACGATTTCCGCGGATGATATACCACGACATAACCATTTCCTTACCTTTTTTTACATTTTTATTTTTACCTACTTTGAGGGTCAGCCTCGTACCAAATATAAAAACTTGCCACTTACAATTGGTTCGTCGCATGAAGTATTGTAAGCTGTATTAGACGGGAAGCAACGGAGTACACGTGTATCGGGATCCTCCATCGGCGGGGCTCCTCGGCGGAGTTGAGCGGCGGGGGAAAGGAGGGACGGCACGGATCAACCTCGTTGAATACCACATAAAAACCCCCATCATGGCGGATATCTAAGGTTAAGGGGCCTGGGGACTGCACGGATAGCTTAGGTAAGAAAAGTTAAGAAGGGAACCACCTCAGGTAGCAGGGTCCACGTACCTTAGGTACTCTACGTACCCGACGGGCGACTGAAAGCGAAGAATGAGTGGCCACATCAGGCCAAAAGGGCCAAAAGAGCCCCCTGTTCCATCAGCTCTGAGGGCTGTGAGTGGTCTCCCCAGGTGCCCAGCTTCCCGATTCGCCATCGCGAGAAAAAAAGTGACAGATAACCACCATCTGGCTTTTTTTTTTTTTTTTTTTTTGGACATCCGTCGCCTTCGGCTGGATTCTGCTTTCCGCCGCTCACTTCTCCGCCGCCAACGACGCGAGACCCCACAGTAAGGAAGCAGCAGCAGCAGCAGCAGCACCACCACCACCAGCCCTGATTCTGCCACGGGTCACCTCGTCCTTTCCTTTGCTACCTACCTTACCTGACTACACCTTCACATCGCAACATCTCTTTGTTGTGCCCCATCTGCATCAACCAGGAGAAAGACTGTTGATGCAACAAGGGGTGTAGCATCATCCGACAAACAGCCCGCCCTTTTTCATTTCGTCCGCCGTTCTGTCGCTTGATCCACGATATCGCGCGCGATCGCCCACCATGGCGCCCCTCGTGGACAACCCCCAGATCAAGGTGGCCGAGCTGTGGAAGCCTTTACCGACCTACTTCCACGCCTACGTCTGGCCCTTTGCCATCATCTGGCCCATCTTCTTACGCTACTACCTTACCGCCGAGCTCTACGAAAAGCACATCGCATCCGAGGAATGGACATTTGTGTGGATCGGCTCCATCGTCACTCTTCAGTCCCTCGCCTGGCTGAGCACTCACTGGAGTGTTAACCTCCAAGCTACCTTTACTGCCACCCGCGCCAAGTCAATTGACGAGGCCGAGCTCGTCAAGATCATTCCTGTCGCCAACGCCGGCTCTGCCGAAATCTGCAAAATCATTCGCGACAAGGTAAGCCAGCTACGAATAAGCGAACCATCCTTCTACTCTTCTGCTTTCCGCAGCCTGACTGACCTTTGAACTTTCACTCGTACAGGTTGGCGGCAAGATCAACACCACCTTCTTGTTCCAGAAGCGCCGCTTCATCTACTTCCCCGAGGACAAGTCTTTCCGAACCCTCGCCTACGATATCGATGCCGAACCCAAGCCCAAGATCGGACGCTACCAGCAGTCCAAGGGCATCACGACCGACGCCGAGCTGAAGAGAATCGAAGAGCACTATGGCGCCAACGCCTTCGACATCCCTGTTCCTACCTTTACCGAGCTCTTCAAGGAGCACGCTGTCGCACCCTTCTTCGTCTTCCAGGTCTTCTGTGTTGGCCTGTGGATGCTCGACGAGTACTGGTACTATTCGCTCTTCACCCTCTTTATGCTTGTCGCATTCGAGAGCACCGTCGTCTGGCAGCGCCAGCGTACTCTCAACGAGTTCCGTGGCATGAGCATCAAGCCTTACGATGTCTACGTATATCGCCTGGGCAAGTGGACTGAAGTCCTGAGCGACAAGCTTCTGCCAGGTGATCTTGTCTCCGTTGGACGCACCAAGGAAGATAGTGGTGTCGCCTGCGACATGTTGCTTGTTGAAGGAACCGCCATTGTCAACGAGGCTATGCTTTCTGGTGAGAGCACTCCTCTTCTGAAGGATTCCGTACAGCTTCGCCCCAGCGACGCCCCCATCGAGCCCGAAGGCCTCGACAAGAACGCTTTCTTGTGGGGTGGCACCAAGGTTTTGCAGATCACCCACGGCAACCCCGACGAAGAGAAGCCCAAGCTGGCATCTGGTGTCCCGCCTCCTCCTGACAATGGCGCCATGGCTATCGTCCAAAAGACCGGCTTTGAGACGTCCCAGGGCAGCCTTGTCCGCACCATGATCTACTCCACGGAGCGTGTTTCTGCCAACAATGTCGAGGCTCTGCTTTTCATCTTGTTCCTCCTCATTTTTGCGATCGCCGCTTCCTGGTACGTCTGGGACGAGGGTGTCAAGAAGGACCGCAAGCGCTCCAAGCTTCTGCTTGACTGCGTCTTGATCGTCACTAGCGTCGTTCCTCCCGAACTGCCCATGGAACTCAGTCTTGCCGTGAACACCAGTTTGGCAGCTCTGGCTAAGCTTGCCATCTTCTGCACCGAGCCCTTCCGTATTCCTTACGCCGGCCGCATTGATATCGCCTGCTTCGATAAGACTGGTACCCTCACTGGCGAGGACTTGGTTGTTGAGGGTATTGCTGGCCTGGGACTCGGTCAGGAGGGCACTAGCACCCCTCGCGAGGCTGACGGTGCGCACTCAACTATGACTCCCGTCAACGAGATCCGCTTGGATACCACTTTGGTTCTCGCCACAGCCCATGCGCTTGTCAAGCTTGACGAGGGCGAAGTCGTTGGCGACCCAATGGAGAAGGCCACTTTGACTTCTCTCGGCTGGACTCTTGGTAGAAACGACACCCTTGCCAGCAAGCCCACCACGGCTGCTACAACTGGTGTCAGCGGAACGGTTCAGATCAAGCGCCGTTTCCAATTCTCCTCCGCTCTCAAGAGACAGAGTACCGTTGCCACTGTCAACGGTGCTGACAAGGCTGGCAACAGGATCCGCGGCACCTTTGTCGCTGTCAAGGGCGCTCCCGAGACCATCATGAAGAGACTCACCATTATCCCTGCCGACTACGAAGAGACCTACAAGTACTTTACCCGCCGCGGTTCCCGTGTTCTGGCACTCGCCTACAAGCAGCTTACTGTTGATAACGAACTCGGAAGCAGCAAGATCAATGACCTCAAGCGCGATAACGTCGAGTCTGGACTCACGTTTGCCGGTTTCCTGGTTCTTTCCTGCCCTCTCAAGGATGACGCGAAGCAAGCTGTCCAGATGCTCAACGAGAGCAGCCACCGTGTCGTCATGATTACCGGTGACAACCCTCTCACTGCTGTCTACGTTGCCCGCGACGTTGAGATTGTCGACCGTGAGGTCCTGATTCTTGACGCGCCCGAGGACAATGAGGGCGGCGACAAGCTGGTCTGGCGCAGTGTTGACGAGAAGACCATCATCCCTGCCGATCCCTCTAAGCCTCTTGACCCCAAGATCCTTGAGAATAACGATCTTTGTGTTACCGGTTACGCTCTGGCCAAATTCAAGGACCAAGTCGGCTGGCGCCAGATTCTCCGTCACGCCTGGGTTTACGCGCGTGTGTCGCCCAAGCAGAAGGAGGACATTCTCGTCGGCCTCCGAGACATGGGTTACTACACATTGATGGCTGGTGACGGTACCAACGATGTCGGCGCCCTCAAGCAGGCCCACATTGGTATCGCTCTTCTCAATGGTACTATGGACGACCTGACTCGCATCGCCGAGCACTCCCGCAACACCAAGATGAAGGAGATTTACCAGAAGCAGGTCGACCTCATGAAGAGATTCAACCAGCCCGCACCCCCTGTTCCCGTCATGATCGCCCACCTGTACCCTCCTGGCACTAGCAACCCCCACTTCACCAAGGCTGTCGAGCGTGAGGCCCAGAAGAAGAACATCACCCCCGAGGAATGGCTCAAGGCCAACGGCGTCAGCGCCATCGAGACCGTCACTTCCCCTGGTGCTAAGCAGCTTCTCAACAACAACGACCCTAACGCTGCTCGTCAGGCCAAGGCTGCCGCCAACGCTGCTAGCTTTGCCGACAAGATGACATCCAGCCTGATGGAGACCGAGATGGGCGATGATGAGCCTCCTACGCTGAAACTTGGTGATGCCTCCGTCGCCGCTCCTTTCACCAGCAAGCTGCGCAACGTCATTGCCGTTCCCAATATTATTCGCCAGGGCCGTTGCACACTCGTCGCGACCATTCAGACGTACAAGATTCTCGCTCTCAACTGCCTCATCAGCGCTTACAGTTTGAGTGTGTTGTACCTCGAGGGTATCAAGTTCGGCGACGGACAGTACACGATCAGCGGTATCCTGATGAGCGTCTGCTTCTTGTCCATCTCTCGCGCTCGCGTTGTTGAGGGTCTTTCCAAGGAGCGACCCCAACCCAACATCTTCAACTTCTACATTATTGGTTCCATTCTTGGACAATTCGCCGTCCACGTTGTTACCCTCATCTACATTGCCCGATTCTGTGACAGACTTGAGCCGTAAGTTTTTAATGCATACTACTACGCCCGCGGAGCAAACACTAACAGTGCAACAGCCGCTCCGGTGATGTCGATCTCGAGGCCGAGTTTGCGCCCAGTCTCCTTAACAGTGCCGTTTACCTGCTTCAGCTCATCCAGCAGATTAGCACGTTCGCCATCAACTACCAGGGACGTCCTTTCCGTGAGGGTCTTCGCGAGAACAAGGGCATGTTCTACGGCATTGTCGGTGTTTCTGCGCTGGCCTTCTCCTGCTCCATGGAGTTCATCCCCGAGATCAATGAGCAGATGAAGCTGGTGCCCTTTAGCGATGAGTTCAAGATGACGATGACGGGCATTATGGTTGTTGACTATGCTGCCTGCTGGGTCATTGAGGTTGTTCTCAAGAACCTCTTTTCTGACTTCCGCCCCCGCGACATTGCTGCTCGCAGACCCGAGCAGCTGGAGCGTGAGCGCGTCCGCAAGGCGGCGGAGCAGAAGATCAAGGATGAGGAGGAAGAGAAGAAGGCGCAGGAGAAGGTGGCCGAATTTGAGCGCAAGGTGGAGGAGCGCCGCCAGCAGCTCGAGGCGTGGAGACAGGGCCGACAGAGGCAGTAGATGGATATATTGGGTTTAGACTAGTTGTGTAACCAAAAATAAGTTAGAGACGCAACATCAAAATGCGTGTGGAGAGATGTATGATAGAACATGAGCATGAACGATATGTGCATACAATACTGTTCCAGTATGTGGCCTGTGAGATTTTGTTTCAGTGCAATTTTCAAAGTACAAGTCCTGTACTACACTTTCAGGTATACAAGACCGTTGCAAGATTTCTGCTTCACAAGAGCACTCTAGAGGTCAGGCAAGCCTCTGTCAGAAGTTTTTCTACAGTGATGGATAGCAATGGCTGAGGCTGTCATATATGCACTTCTTTACATTAGAATCAATTGGTACAAACTCAAAGCACATCACATCACAGCGTTCAAATGAACATAGTTTGAAGTCAAGCGTGTTTGAAATTTTATGGTACAGAGGCAGACCCAAAGTCGATGCCACGAGTAGGTAAAGCACGACTTTTAAGTGTGCGCTTCTGCGTCTACCCGTCATCCTAGTTCTTCTTTGCCAGTCGGATTAGACTGAAAAAGAAAGTAGTGTGGATGTGATTTTGTTTTTGTTTTTCAACTCTGCTCGACCTGTTTGTGTAGGTTTCCATCTACTACAACACGTCCCCTTAGTTTTACATCAAAGTGACAACGAAAAAAGTGTTGCACTTATTTGGGGGGGTTGGAGGCGACAAAGGCAACACCCTTGGCAATGTTCTTCTTGAGGTCGGCGAAGCAGGCCTCGAGGAGCTTCTCCTCGGCGGCGTCAACCTTGCCGAGGGGAAGGATCTTCTCGACACCGTTGGGGCCGAGCTCGACCTTTGAGGAGAAGAAGTCGATGCCCTGGTCCTTGTAGAGGGGGGAGTCGACAAAGGTGGGCTCGACGATACCCTTCTCGCCCTGGGAGGCGCGGAGGAGGGACTCGGCCATGCGGGCACCGGCGAAGGCCATGGAGAGGGTGGCGGAGCCAGCGCCGTCCTTGGCCTTGACGACCTCGTCACCGCCGAACTGGACGCGGTTGACGAGCTCGGCGTTGGAGGAGAGGTCGGGGTGGTTGGACTGGGAGAAGAGGGGGACGATGGTGACGCCCGAGTGGCCGCCGACGACGGTGATGTTCTCGTCCTTGGGGTCGGTGGACTTGATCTCGGAGACGAAGCGGGAGGCGCGGACGACGTCGAGGGTGGTGACGCCGAAGAGGCGCTTGGGGTTGTAGACGCCGCGGGCCTTGAAGACCTCGGAGACGATGGGGACGGTGGAGTTGACGGGGTTGGAGATGACGAGGATGTTTGCGTCGGGGCAGGACTCGGCGCAGGCCTTGGCGAGGTCGCGGACGATGGAGGCGTTTGTGTTGAAGAGGTCGTCGCGGGTCATGCCGGGCTTGCGGGGGACGCCGGCGGGGATGAGGACCACCTCGGCGCCCTTGAGGGCGCTGGCGAGGCCGGTGGCGGTGGGGTCGTAGCCCTTGACGACGGACTTTGTGTTGACGTGGGAGATGTCGGCGGCGACACCTGGGTGACGGGTCAATTGGCTGTTCCGCAAGACGGAGGGGAGGGAGATGGAGATGGAGATGATGAGCTTACCAGGGCCTCCACGGATATCGTAGAGAGCGAGCTCAGTGACTCTGGGGTTGAGCTTCATGAGCAGGGAGAGGGGCTGGCCAATACCACCGGCGGCACCGAGGACGGTGACCTTGGAGAGCTACAGGAGAGGACATGGTGTCAGCTGAAGAGTCTTTTGGTTGTTGATATGTGTGGATGCGATTGCGGTGATGATGCCATTTGTCCTTGTTGACATTGGAGCATCACGCAGCTTCAGAGCCGTCTCTCCCTTCAGTGCCTTGCCCCGAGGTCGGCTTTTCGGAGCTATGGAGAGGAGAGGAGAGAGCTCTGCTTTGGTGGGCAGACAAGAAGGAATTGCGGATTGAAGAATAACTTACGCTTCTCGCCGAGGCGGAGAACATGCGGCGCTGGACGAAAGACATGATTGCGACGAGGAGGGGGGGGGAGATGTGTAGTAGGTAGATGGTACACAGTTGAGATGGATGAGGAAAGAAAAAAAGAGCAGAGGTTTAAAAATTTATGAGGCGCGCGAAATAAGTTGGTTGGCACACACACCTCACACACCTCAGCAACAGCGCAGCAGCGGAGGCGGAGGGACAACAGGACACTCAACAGAGCACACGCACCACACGGGAGCCACAGACAGTGGATTGACGGGGGCCCGGGAATGGCAGGATGCGGCCTTGCGAGTGGGTGAAGGCCTCAGCAAGGGGCCCACTGTCCACTGTTTTCCCCCCCGTCATTCCCGGCCTTCCTTTCCACCTGGTCACTGTCAGCACACCTCAGGTTCCATTTCTCGGGCTCGCTCTTGTCTCTCTCTAAAGTACCTTCCAGGTTAGCGGTGGTTATTATTACTACACTCCAGTGCTGCTGACTGAGGTGACCGGGACTTGTTTTCCTGAGACTACAAGGTGTGAGTGATCGATCACGATGCGACCGCCAGCAAAAAAAAAAAAAAAAAAAAAACAGCAGGAAAGAAACCCCACGCCAATTCCAATCCGGGTCTAGCGCCACGGCCACCCGGAAGACTACGGGGAAACGCCGGAGAGGATACGTACTCCACACATCTCTGCGGTACTGTACATTCTGTAAGGTAGCATCTTGTTTCCCTTCCTTTTCTTCCCTCTCTTCCATCTCAGCTTCCCATCGCCGAGCTTGGTCCCCGACCCTCCACTACTGCCACTCAACCCCGGAACGAGTGATGCAGTCGACTCTGCCGCACCCGTTAGACACCCTCGGATGGACGGACGGTCTGATTATGGCACATGCTTATCTACCTAGCACTTCGACTACTGTAACCCATCTGTCGCGGTGTTGTATATGATAGATGATGTATCCCGCACCAATGCTTCCCTCGACCCGAGGTTACGGTAAAGCCTGCTGAAGTGTACTGCTTCTCAACCACCACCATTGTGTACCTGTATACAACCTATGGAAGTCAAGCAATAGACAGACGCAATGGGTGGACGGGATCTACGCAGAATGGCCTCACCCTCGGTCCTGTATCCCTGGGATCCCCTACCATCCGTCGGAGAACATGTTACACTGTCGATGAGAACCGGCTTGCTTCATGTGACATCTTCTCAGACAGCCTTACTCGACATATGCATGTCTTCCCTGGCCCTTACCCATGAAGCATACCCAGGTGGTACTCCGTACACTCCCTACGCATACTGCGTACAGTCGGGGAAGCCAGAACACGCCATCTCACTGGTGCGCATGTTGGCTTCCAATTCTGCGGCGGCGACAAGGCGCTGAGAAACTCTGAAAACACCGCAATCGGCGCCGACTCATGACCTCATGACCCACCAGTCTTGCTGTACTCCGTACGGCCCGCGCCTTGTAGCCGGCTTCCACCCGGCTCCGACTGGCACCTCCCGGTCTGTGACATCCGATGATATTGTATTTTCAACTGCTGTAACCTACGATGAAAGGTTTTGTGACGACAATCGACAACCAAGAAATTCCCTTCCTGACAGTTAGAATAGATGGCCTGGTCGGTATGAGATCTTGTTTGGGCTGAACTGAAGGTTTTTCAACCGAGCCAAGCTGTGTCGGAATTCAATTGTAATCAGACTGGCAGAACAACGACAGCCTGATGAGATTATCTCATTGTGTCTTTGCCAGTATGTTCGAGTCTGAAATTAGACTTGGTCATCACCCAAGGCTTCATTCATCCACGCAAAACTGAATGCTTTCCATTATAAATACAACGCAGTAAGCCTCGATGAAATAAAATGAAAAGGTACCTTTTTCTTTTCCACTACGGTGATAAGTTTCGAATTTCGTGGCATTGGAATCGTTGAGTGAAATATCAATCTACAATGATCGCAGTATAAGATGAAATAAAACCAATATCCAAACTCTTCCACCTCTCCATAAAGTCAGATGAAGGAGCTCCCAGCACACCGAGTGACTCTTCGGCGACGCAGCGGGGGTTGCCGGCCGGTCACAGCGCTGCCCCCACTATAGTTTTGACCGTCGCGGGGGAGCTGTGGCGCTGGCTTCCAGGAACATCAGCTAAAGAAAGACCCCGCCACTTTGCTCAATTTCATCATCATTCTCAAATCTCAACTGCTGCGAAAGCCTAACAACTACATCCCTTCCCTCGTCCGAACAACTCCCACTACGATTCAGGAAACCGATCCTCTCTCGCCAAAGACACACTCCAAAAAAAAAGGAGACATCGAACTCCCAACATGTCTCTGGCGCAGCTCTCCCGCCTGCTGCCCCTCCCTGAGGACGAGCTAAAGCAGATGCTCGACTACGCAAACACGCTGTCGAAATCCGAAGCCGCAAACCACTTCAACGACTTGCTAGGCGACTCACCGCAGGCCGTCGAGTTCATATCCTCCTTCAACTCACGACGACAAGAGAAGAAGACCCCAGCCCCAGCGCCGCAATCCAGTTCGACCAGCTCAAGTGCCCCGGAGCCTGCTCCAAAGACGTCACGAGGCCCCAAGAAGAAGAAGGCAAACATACACACCCCGGCCGCGAGACAAATCGACGCTGCGCCTCCCCCGGGGGCCAGCTACAATAAGAAGTCGCAGGAGGATGAGTGGTATGGAGGGAGGAAGCCAGCCCCGGCGGTGGAGAGCAGCAGCACCAGCAGCAGCAGCATCAGCACCGCCTTTCCGCAACTTGGGGCCCCGTCGTCGGGTTCTAAGCAACCACTAAAGAGCGCGACCCCTCCTCCGCAGCAGCAAAGAACGGCAGGAGGCTACCTGATATCCGACGTCAAGGCGAAGCCCAAGTCGAACCCCGTATCACGATCCTCTACCCCCAAGCCTACGACGAAACCTACAAAGATATCGATTGCCGGCGGTACGCCAATGGCGGGTGCATCCACGGCCCTCAACGATCTGGATGCGGTCATCAGGACCCTAGAGCTGACGACGAACCCGACAATGGGCGACGACCCGAAAGCTAGGAGGTGCAATTGTGTAGCCACACGACACCCGCTGCAGACGGCGGCACCCAACTGCCAGTCGTGTGGCAAGGTCATCTGCGTCAAGGAGGGCCTCGGGCCGTGCACATTCTGCGGTACACCTCCGCTGTCGTCGGAGGACGTACAAGGAATGATTAGGGAGCTCAAGGCGGAGCGAGGAAAGGAGCGCATGGCTGCGGATAGAGACGCTCACAAGCGGGCCGAGGTCAGCAAGAAGCCGGCGCCGTTCAGCCAGAACAAGATGTCCGAGGCGGAGGCCAAGGCAAAGGAGCACCGGGACAAGCTATTGAACTTTCAAGCGCAGAATGCGCGGCGAACGACGGTCAGAGACGAGGCGGCAGACTTTGATGTCAGCGGGGCCATGGCCGGCAGCGGAGGCAATATCTGGTCGACGCCCGAGGAGCGGGCCAGGGAGCTCAAGAGGCAGCAAAAGATTCTACGCGAGATTGAGTGGAACGCGAAGCCCGAGTATGAGAAGCGCCGGCAGGTGGTTAGCATTGACGTGGTGGGCGGCAAGGTAGTCAGGAAGATGGCGGCTGTGGAGCGGCCGACGACGCCGGACGGAGAGGACATTGTTATGGATGAAGTTGAAGACGAAAATTACAGCCTCACCAGTCAACGGCAGGGTGGTGGACAGGGTGGTGTTGGCGGCGGTGGAGCCTTCAGTCAGAACCCTCTACTCGGAGGACTGATCAAACCGGTGTGGGATGCCAAGGGAAAGGGAGCGCAGCTGGAGGGCCGCAAGGACAGAAAGACGCAGTGGAGGAGGGTTCAGGACGACTTTGGGGACAACGAAGCGGTGATTTTGGATGGCGGGGCGCATGGATACTCGGCGACGGGTGACGAGCCAGCGTGCGGTTGAATTCACTTTTCAATGAGTTGTCCCGGAGTGGAGTGAAGAGGACCCTCAACATGTGGGAAAGTAGATGGTTGGGTTAGAGGCTCTTGTAGATGAGACATGGCCACATACGTAAGCATTCCTCGGGGAGTTGATGGATTTAAAACAAAGCATTGTCTAGCGGTGACGGAGGTGCGCTCGGGTGTTTGCATGTAAGGCATGATTGAGGGCATCTTGTATATGAGACTTAGACTGTATACCGGTACTTGGAAATGGAACATCCGTACGGATACCACTTAAGATGTCTAATGCTCGGTTCACAATTAGGCTTGGGCAGCAACACGGGCTTTTAGGGGTATTCGGTTAGTGACCCAATCACAGACGAAGACGAGGCCTGGAAGAGAAGGTTGGAGTTTGATGGACAGCAAACATTATGTTGAGGGTATTGAGTAGTAAGGATGCAGATATTCAAGGAATGGTGGTGAGAGTACTACGTACCCAGATGAAGAGGTGGTGGCAGGTAAGGTACTGCTCAGTGGTGAAGGTACTTTGGTACAGCATCATGTGACTTCGTGTCTTTGACCTGCTGAGTCAGGCCGAGCGGGAAGCCGGGCGTGTCGCAGTCGCTCGATTTCTGCCGCCACCGCTGTCCACGTCGCCTCGGTCGGGGGTGTCCTTTTTGTTCTGGCAGGCGCGGCCTCGACTCGCCCCCAGGTACCTGCCATCCCTGAGGTAAGGTACTGACAGGCTGAATTCTGACATCAGCCCTCCATTGCATCACACATTCTTGTTAATCCTATCCTTTTCGTCTTCATCATTTTCTGTTTTTTTTTTTTTTTTTTTCTAAAAGAGTATTCATTCTCGCTGCTCGCATCCTCTTGCGTGACCACTGACTGGGGTCCCCGTCTGTTTAGCGAAACGACCCCAAAGAGCGTTAGGTCAGAACGACTCGACTGGGAGGGGGGGAATTCGCCATTGTTACAGTGGAGAAGCCGCTGCAAGACACAGCCGAGAGACACTGGAAAAGTCCCCCAAAGGGCCAGAACAACGAGAACAAAAGTCAACAATCCACGGAAACACACACCCACACCCACAACTACACATCAGACGGGACACACCTGGGCAGAAAAAAAAACATACGGGGACTTCCATTGTGAAAGAGAACAACCGACGGGGAAGCCAGGTGGGCGAAAATAACGCGACGCAGACCGCGTAAACCGCCCTTTTCCTCCACCACCCAAACCACCCAAACCACCCCAGCCCAGTTATCGCTCCTCTTGCTTCCTCCACGCTCCCCGTCCCGTCTTCCATCCCCCCGCCCGTCCATCAATTCCCCCCAGCTAATTACCTATCGTCTAACTATCCTACGGTCTTAGGTGCCCGCGACCGTTAGCAGATTGACAGCGGACAGCACCGCCTGTGTGACCTGCCTAGCGTCGTCCGCGTACCTCACCTACCTAAGGTATGCAACTGGACCACGGCCCACCACCACCACCACCACCACCACCACCACACTGCACCGCACCGCACTGTTCCTCCACCACACCGCACACCCGATCTTCGTCGCAACCCTCACCCGTCACCTCGGTCACTCCTACACTTCCAACCGCCAAATATCCCTCTCCTCTCACCTCGCCGGCCTCGTTGCCGTATATCGCCCTTATCGGTGTTCCAATACATCCTCAAACATACTCGGTCCCTCCATCCGCCTGCCGCTCGAAGCCTCCATCATCATCACACTTCAGTCCGGCGCATCACCAGTCTGTCCGCCATGGACTCTGCCTCTATTCCGCCTCGGCTGGGCCACATACACGACTCCGACCGACAACACTTCAAAATGCACTCTCCCGCGACCCTGCAAGACACGGGATTGCTACCGGATAAAGCCGCTCGTCGTGCTCTGCAGCCCTTGACCCGGCCCCAGACCATCGCTCCTCCCGACGCGCTCCCCAACGACAAAGCCGCATCTTCCTTGGGCGACGCGACTGCGAATCACCATCACAACCTCCACGCCCACGTTCACGCCCACACCCACGCACAAGGTCAACAACCTCAGCCCAGCTACCAGCAGCCCTCGCAACACTTTACAACATCAAATCACGTTCCTCGCATAATCGATCACCATCCTCCCAAGACCACTTCAATTGCTGCATCCTCCGTACCTTCTCAGGTTCCTCCATCCACCCAACAGCGACCGCTCCCCTCCTCTGACTCGCAGACCTCGAGCCTGTCTGCCGAACCTGCCAACGTCTTCACGCCACCCGCCAGTCAGGGTGACATGCCGGGAGGAGGCAGCCTCAACGGTCACGATTCCAGCCAAGAGTCACAATTGCTTCAATTATCACATATTGCCGCAGCCCAGGACAAGTTGGCCGAGGACAATGTAATGGCAACTGCCCGGAAGCGAATGGCCGACGGTGCTCTCAAGGAAAACACCTCTCCCGTTCGGATGGGTCACTCGAGGAACACGAGCACCGTCAGCATGGCCTCTACTACAGCCAGCAGTATCGGTGATGTAAGTCGGCACGCGACACTAATACAAAGATATCATGGCTGACCCAGTATGTATAGTGGTCCAGCGACCTCAAGACACGCCTCTCGTACGCAATGCTCAAGGTAAATCACGGCTGGCAATCACATTCCATTGATGAGGTCGAATCCATGGCTTCCCAGGCCGCCTCGCCCACCTCGAGCCATTCCACCTTGCACGGCCGTCAAGAGCTGTCTGCAAGTCCTCGCGCCAATATGGCTCGTTATCAACCCGTGAGCGCTGCTACAACAGCAAGCTCTGGCCCCAGCCCTGCAACATACGAGTCCTTCTGGAAGGAGGGCCAAAGATCTACGCATACATCTGCCTCCCCTCCAGCACCCGTCCAGAATCAAAGTGTCCCTACACTTGCACCGCCTGCTCCGATTCAACCGTCGAGGCCAATGGGTAGCCATAACCCGCGCCGGAACTCAAATCCTCGCTACACCCCGACTCTTCTCTCCCACTCACACAGCGCGTCACCGCATACCCCTTCTCAACCGACTAACAATGCGACGCCAAATCAGAGGTTAGGCCGGACTCCACTCATCGACCCGATCCTCTTCTCACCTCACCAAAACGTTAGAGAGCAGGACGCCATTGAATCACTGCTCTTCATGAGCAGTCCCGGGAACTCGGCCAACATGAAGCACAACTACTCCTCATCAGCAGCTACAAACTTGCCTGGTCGCCATGCTCTGCCAAGCTCACAACCCCGTAAAAGCCTGCCTTCGCAACGGCCCCTGCCGCAAAAACGTGTGGGTTTTGAGAAGAGCCCTGGAGGTATGACGGCAGTGAGCGACATGGATATTGACATGGACTCACCTCAGTCACGAGGACCAATGAGGAGGCGAATCAACGGAAGTGCCAGTTTCTCCGGAGTGACCATCGGCAGCACTCTGCGTCCTCAACTGTCATTACCAGCGGCCCTTGGGAGCACCTCACGACCACGGCCTCGCTTAGCAGACGCGGACATTGAGCGGATGATTGATCAAGCAGCACAAGCGGGCGACAGCTCTGACGACGATGACGGTGAAATCCAGATTCCAGGAAGAAATCGGCCAGAAGGGGCTGTAGGAGTATGAGTGTCGTGTTTTGTTTATTTCGTTTTCTTTGCATGGATGATCACCCGGGGGATCTGCACTGCCTTTGTTTGGATTGCATATACACACGTGTTTTGGCCCCGGAAGAACCAAGGTTTCAAGGTTCCTGGGAGAAACGCGACGATGATGACGACCTTTTTTTTTCTTCTCTTCCTTTGGGACACATATATACACCTGCTTGTTGGACACTGTTCGCCCGAGGCTGGGTTTTTAGTATTACACGGGCATTTAGTTGACGGTCTTTTGCCCGTCTTCACACGAGGAAGGGGGCTTCATTTGGGGAGCATAAGGGGGCCTTTGTACCTCTGACGGAGTTTTGAATATTGGAGTTTCTCTTTCAGGATATTATATGCATTGCATGGCTGAGGCCACAAGTAGCATCACATACGCATAGGATGGTGACCGTCTGGCCACCTTACAAAATGAAAGCAAATTATTGGTTGATACAAGTTGATTTACACGCGTCGTGAAACGCCTAAAAGGTATCTGACTGAGTAGGCCCAATAAAGCCATCAATAATATGTGATATCCACCGAATAATCCCATGTCAAAACTTCCACCCCTTCTCTCTAATGCAATAGCCGTGCAGGTATATATAGTAGACAGTAACATCATTACGAGTAAGCCCCCGTTACCCCCGAAAACGCCAGTCGTGATCAAAATAGTCATGAACCATCTTGGTCTCTCTACCAGCCTCCATGGTGGCCATGATGACCGTGGTGACCGTGGTGACCACCCCCGTGATGAGGAGGCCCGCCGTGGTGTCCATGCTTTTCACGTCCCATCAACGAACCGACCAGACCGCCGAACCCACCGGAGGAGTGATGGCTTCCGCCGTGGTGCGGGGGGCCATGGTGCGGCGGGCCGTAATGGTGACCTCCGTAGGGTGGCGGGGGAGGTCCGCCGTGGTGGTGGTGGTGGTGGTGGTGACCTCCGTAGTGATGGGGCGGCGGGGGAGGAGGAGGAGGCGGGTGGTGGTGTCCGTGATGTCCATGGTGTCCATGATGACTGCTGCTGCTGGAGTGGTGACTCCCGCTCAACCTATGCTCCAACTTGTTGGCGACCACCGCGCCGCCCAGAGCACCCGCTACAGCGCCGAGTTTCCCGCCGAGGAACTTCTTGCCGGCGTACCCTCCTGCCGCGCCGCCACCGATGGTGGAGACGAGGCCGCGTTCGCCTTCTTGGCCTGTGCCGAGTTGGGCGTCGTAGCCTGGTGGACCGGAGGATCGGGAGCGGTGGTGGGATGAACCGGAGCCCGGGAGGCCGAGCGAGGAGAAGGAGGAGCGAGGGCGTTCTGAGTTTGCGGAGCGGGGGCGGTAGCCTGCGCCGTCTATGAGGGGGCCTGCGGAGAGGTGGCGGGAGGAGGAGCCGCCGGGCGTGTGGGTGTTTTGGCGGGAACCGCCGTAGTAGTCTTGTGCTGACATTTGTGTTTGATTGTATTTGATGATGATGTTGTTGGTGGGTGCTATTGTATAAGTGGTTTTGTATTCGCTTCTCGATGTTTGGGTGTAAGTGGCCAGTTGTGGATAAGCAGGATATAACGAAGACAAGTGCAGAAGAGACTGGGGGACACCAGCCTTAAGTAAACCGGTCGTCTGAACAGGTTCACAGGGGAACCAGTCCAAGCTGGGGGGGTGGGAGTGATCAAGGCATGACTGTGACTTGGAGGGAGAGAGAGAAACCTAAGCTTCGCGACGAGGATGGATCCCGGGAGCGGCGCAAGGTCGCGCAGGGGCGGAGTTTTCGGGCTTGGGTGGTAGGGAATTGCGTAAGGCGGCGGCCCCTCTTTTTTTGGTGTCACTTCTAGTCACTTTACAAGAGAAGTACACGCTCGCTCCCGCGTCTATCCCTTCACGGTCACTCCACATGGTCCCGGGGCTCAGCGCCCAACGGTTAATATTACACGTAATTCACCATGGCAAGGTCATTCTTTTCAATGCCCTTCTCCGCGGGGACGGGTTGACACGCGTTGGATGTGTTCGTGCCTTGGCTGTATCGTCTGGCGGCGCTAGTGGGCGAGACAGATGGTCATGATGCCGAGTCTCTGGGTACCGTCACGGGACTCTCATGAGATGTACTTCTGCACCCCCGTCTGCAGAGATGTATCTCTGTAGGAAGCATGGGGTATGGGGGTTATATCTGAGTGGGACGGAACGTCTGATGTGAGAGAGAGAGAGAAGAGGTATGCTCGTCATTGTTTGCTCTGACATTCATGCCTTGTGCCTTGACCTTACTCTCAAGTATTGTTCGGATATACAGGTACAGACGGCAAGAGACGCAAGGTAGCGTTCCATCTGCAAACACACCTTAATTTTTTTTGCTTATTCGCGGGTTGTGGATTACCGGACCTGCAGACGGCAGATTGCGAATGCACGACAAAAAATTCCCACAAGGCGCATGCTAAGAATATCGAATCGGCCCTGGGGCAAAGTGGGCGGGGGGGATGCGAGATTGCCGGCTGGGGTGCGACAGGGTGCGAGGCGACGCCAACAGTCGATAAGACAGACCTTTAGTGAGGACTACGAGTGAAGGTGAGCACTGAGAGTGAGGACTGAGGACTGGAAGTGAGCCTGAGAGTGAGAGTGAAAGTGAGAGTGAAAAGTAAAGGCGAGTGAGTTCGGGGGAGGCGGTGCGCTAGGCCCCACTATGTTGCTCCACTTTCTCTTTCGGGATGGACCATGTTACCCTCCGTCCCGTGCTTCGGGTCTTCGGCGTTAGGGGTCCCAGTCGGCGAGTCCGGAGAGCCACCGCGATTGCGTCCTCACCTTTACCATCGTCAACCACCGCCTCTACTCTTTACTCTAAAAGACTTCAAACTACAACACACAGCACGGGTCTTCAACAACAACGTCATTTTGAGGCTTCGTGAGGCTTCAAGTACCTCCGCAATCGGTCTCGTCATCTTCCGTCTACGGTTCACCTCCACTACATCACCCTCGGCTACATTCGCATCTTGACATGAGATTATTCCAAGGCACAAAACCTACGTGGGGATAACCTTCATCCCAGCTCAGCCTCACAGACACCTCAGACCGCGCCCACTGCCTCGCAGACGCAAATCAGCCCTGAGTCACTTTCGTTTTGAAGAACTTCAGATCATATCATGTTTTGAATGCAATACCTTATTATTTCCGGTCCTCGCGCTTCTCCACGGCTTTAACGACTTCACATTACCATAGTCTCTGTCCGTACTGATACTCTAGCAGCCAAGACGGCAGACACGGCCCCATGGCAACAAGGTTCGCCTGTTCGTCGCCGACTCATGAGAAGCATGAGCCCAGTAGCATCCTAATCTGCCCAGATTGAGGCCCACCCCGCTTTCTTCTAGAACATGTCGAAACATTTTCTAGGTTCTTGTAAAGGTGCCCGAGCCTCACTCGCGGAGCGCTGGAGCTTGGAGCAGGGATGGGCTCTAAAGTCTGAACCCGCGCCACAGTTCACATCGGCATCTCGGAGACTTCGCCCACATTCCCGAACGCGAGACGGCGGCGAGAGCCCACTGCCGTGGCGGAACCATGGCCGCTCCGCCGCAAGTTCTCTTCCCGCCAAGCCACTATTCCCGTGTCACCCGGCCCGACGTGATTCGAACTGCGCCTGGTATGTCAGTAGACTTGGAACCTCATTACGCCTCACGTGAACATCCCGCCGGCCGGGCCTCATTTCATGAAACTGAGGTTTTTTTTTTTGCAACATTATCGTCTCATTGCATTGTTCGATATGCTATAGACCTATACAGATTCTAGGATACGACCAGGCTTCCCTCCAACGCTAGGTTTCTGCTCGACGCTCCAACCTTGACGGTGAACGTACCTGCCGGCACAATCCAGTTCTGGCTTGCGACATCCCAATAGCTCAGGTCCTTTCTCCTCAAATTGAACGTCGCTACTGCTGACTCTCCCTCGCCGAGTCTCAACTTCTCGAATCCGCGAAGCTGCTTTGGCGGAGACAGGGGCGCGCTGGCCGGGAGGGTGAGGTACAACTGCGCGATCTCGGCGCCGGCAATGGATCCTGTGTTCTTGATGGTCGCCGTCACCGTAGCAACAACCTCGAAGAGATCGGCGCGGCCGCCGGGAACCACCTGGCCAACAGCCGGACCGGATGTAGCTGTGGATGTGACGCTGATGTCGGAGTAGGTAAAGTTCGTGTATGCTGCATATTTTGTTAGCATGGCTTTCGAGCGAAGATTCAAACCCCTTCTTAGAAAAAGACTTACACAATCCGAAACCAAATTCGTACCGCGGCTCGATGCCAGCCCTGTCAAAGTGGCGATAGTCGATAAAGATGCCCTCGGCAAAGTTATCCTCGAGCGTCTTGGACACAGCAGTGCCGTAGTCGGCAACACTCTTGCCAATCGTATACGGCAACTTTCCGTTGGGGTTCGTCGCGCCCCAGAGGATATCAACCAGCGCATTGCCAGTCTCCTGCGACCCGAGCCCAGCCCACACGACGGCCTTGACGCCGGGCTGCGCGAGGATCGTCTCGAGGATGATGGGTCCGACGCTGTGCACCACGACCACGACGTTATCATTCACCGCCGCCGCGGCCTTGACGAGCTCGTTGCCGTTGTGCCACGGGTCCAGCGTGTTGCGGTCGCCAATGTTGCCGTCGACGGTGATGTAGCCCTCGCCCGAGTCCGACGTGATGAAGACGAACGCCGCGTCCGCACCGGCGGCCGCCGTAGCGCCCTGCTGCGCGTCGTCGGTGCTGCTGGCGAATACCTCTGTGCCGTCCTGCTGCGCCCGCTCCCGGATCGCGTCGAGCGGCGCGACAAGGTAGGGGTAGTCTACTGTGCCGGAACCCCATCCCATGCCGAGGGTGCCGTTGTTGCAGCTGCGGTCGTAGCAGGCGTTGATGCCGGCCGGGTTGTTCACGGTCGAGGACCCGATGACGGCGATCTTCTTGGGCGTCTTGAGCGGGAGGATGGCGCCGTCGTTCTTGAGCAGCACGATGCCGTCCCGCGCCGTGGCGCGTACGTTGTCCTTATGCGTGCCCTGGACGTTGGCCGCGAGGTTGACGGGCGGGTACTCGCCCTGGTCCTGGCCGAGGAGGTACCACGCCGCGAGGATCCTGCGGACCTTATCTTCGATGGTGGTCAGCGAGACGGTGCCGTTCTCCACGACCGTCTTGAGCTGCGGGCCCCACCACACGGAGCCGGGATCGTTGTTGTAGTTGGCGCCCGGCATCATCATGTCCAGCCCGGCCTCGGCGCCGCTGACGGTGCCCGTGGTGGCGTACCAATCCGTCATGACGTATCCCGGGAAACCCAGCTCTTCTTTGAGGAGCTTGGTCATGACGGCGTCGTTCTCGCAGGCCCAGGTGCCGTTGATCTTGTTGTAGGAGCACATGACCGAGGCGACGTTGGCGTGGACGGCCTCGGCAAAGGGCCAGAGGTAGAGCTCGTGCATTTCTCTGTCGCCGACGTTGCTGCTGATTGTCTCGCGGTTTAGTTCTTGCTCGTTGACAATGTAGTGTTTTGCCGTTGCTTGGACGCCCGAAGACTGCATGCCCTCGATCGTTTCCTTGGTCGCGATGCCCATGAGGTACGGGTCTGGGCCGAAGCCCTCCCAGTTTCTACCGGCATTTGGTGTCTATTCGGATTCGATGGTCAGCCATGTTCTGTTGAGTCGCAAGTTCGGGACCCGAGAAACCTACTTTACCCAAAGCGCCACAAGCAGGGCCAAGCATAACATGGACGCCAACGCCCCTTGCCTCAGCAGCCTTGAACGCGCCCCTCTGCCGAATCAAGTCGACGTCCCACGTCGCGGCCGCCTGGATACCGGGCACGAAGGCCGTCACGCTGCTGGCGTAGCGGACGCCGAGGGGCCCGTCCTGGAGACAGAGCGAGGGGTAGTTGATGGAGGACGCGGGCGAGGTGTTACCGACGCAGAGGCCCTTGCCCCAGCCGATGCCCGAGACGATGCCAATCTTTTCGTCGAGGGAGAGCTTGGCGATGGCGGCTTCGGCTTTGGCGTAGGCTGCGTCCCATTCTGGGGTGCGGACGGGGCTGCCACCTCCCGTGGAGTTTTGCGCGCTGGCGAGGCAAGCCGCTGCGGCGAGGAATGCGATCTTGGGGAGATGCATTTTGAAAAAAAAAGGAGCGCTTAGGTCTGTGGGACGGATGGTGAGAGAAGCGAAGATGTGTGCGGCCGGGGGTCTTCGCCTTTATATGTCCCCGGAGGCCTGAAGCTCATGAGCTTCTTGGGAGCTTGCCTCCCCCCCGCTGGAAGGGCAGTGACGATCCACACCGTTCAGTAAACCAGAGATGTCCAGCCAAGCTGCCGAGGACATGGAGAAGAGGAGAGAGGTCGTCATTCCTGCAGGGTCAATCTGCGTGAATTAGGCTCGATATGTCCTGTGATCTCATGTCCCGCGGCAAGGACATGTATGGTTCCGTGGCCGAGTGGTTGGCATAGTATAAATTGCC